TATTAATCATTTCTTTGATCATGTCTTTGGCTTGCTCAATTTCGTTTGGACTGAATAGTTGACTCAGTTGCGACCAGACGAGACTCAATTTTCGCTTGCTGGCATCGGTTTGTTTCTCATCTAAAGCATGTTTGTAATTGGCACTGCGTTTGTTCAATGAATAATTTGTTAAATGCATGAACGCTTCATGGAGATTTTTTTTCGATGGAGCTTGGTAGCCGATGGTAGCGAAGCGCGCTAGACCTTCGTCATACAGTAGAATTTCCAATGGATCCAATTTAAGAATCAGTACATAGATTCTCATATCAAATTTAAGACCATTGATTAGTAGTGGTTGGTCAATGTATTCTGGCAATAAATCACAGAGAATCGTAATAAGATATTGAATTCAGAATTTTAAGTATTACCTTGAACGATGTACGGCCGATTAGGAACGCTACAGCGAGTTGGATCTTGAATCAAATAGATACCTTCGCCTTCTGAGCCATCTATACAGAATAAATAGAAAGTGAGTGAATTTACTGTCAAATTGCTAAACAAACCCGATGGTTTGACGATGAAAGTCGTTAAAGGTCGTCGTCGACTTTGATCTTTTTTGTGTATCGCACGAGCATCGTCTTGAAACTGTTCAATTTGTTCGGGTAGAAACCACGTTTTCGGATAGAAATCGAATTCATCCGGAAATAACATTCGCATGGCGTTTAATGAACGTGTCAAATTGCTTTTACACATGATGTCACGCATGCCTATAGATTGTTCAATTATTAGATTCGGAACTAAGATGGACTGTCACAAGGAAATCAGCTGCATGAAGGTGTGGGTGCACATATGTTTGTGTTTTGAATCCAGAAATGGCTTTATATGTTATTGCACTTGTATGTATATGGATTTGGATGGAAACTGGTAAGGATTTATGTGAGACTTAGGAAAGCATGCATGCGCTCCAAAAATATATAGCAAAACTTAGTCGGTACTACGATTGTTTCATGCAACGATATATTCATATAGACCTATCCAGTGACGTTCGCTTGCAACTGTCGTCAGATAAACGTCCAGAACTCTCAGTATATAGTTCTTCGGTTCTTTGAAGCCGAATATTGAAAAAGTACATACATTTTTCCTTATGTTATCATTGCTCCTGCAGCATACCTACTGGCAAAGCTTCATCTTTTAGATTTAATGGACTACTCATCAATGAATGTTTCAATTCAGTACTTTGAATGAGCTATATCAATTCTTTTCAGAGAATTTTCAGTTTTTTTACAGTCTATGTCTTCTGTTTTTATTAAAAATACTGTAACGTGAAAATACACAGTTCAATATTCTTAACTTTGAGAATAATTTTATATGCACGTGTGTTACTCACAAACTAATGCCGAGCACACCTTCACGTTTCCTTTCTTCAAGTTCCTGACGATAATTGAGAAAACTGAAAAGAACAATTTATCGATTGCAATAATGAAACTCAAGAACTAAACGATGGGTATAGGTAACAGAGTCATGAAATTAGAATAAGCGTGCATGATAGATTACGATAAAGTACCAGAAGGAAAATGAATAGCAGAACAAAAGGAAGACAAACTTTTGCTTACGCAAAGTAGTAGAAATAAAATTACTTTATACATATATAATGTATCAAGCAGCATTGATTCCAGCTCTGCTTTTATTGCTAAAAATCCTGGCTCATAAAGCGTTTATACAAAAGAAGAGCATTCGTATTAAAACGGATTGTCTATGTTAAAAGTGATCGGCTTATGAAAAGCAGCAGTATCCTATGATACAGTATTACATGTTATCTTGCATGGAGCCTTGCTTTTCTTACTGTGATTACGACACCTGAATTCATGTAAAAGGTAATTTTGTATGAGAAACAATGTCAGATAACTTTTCCTTTGGACTGTTCAGATTATAATTAAATTAAATTTGTGCTTGAAACTAGTAGCCCGTTAATCACAATGAGACAACAGTTAATTATTTTTGAAAAGGCGAAGTAGTGGAAAGAAAGAGATGGAAAAGCATCTTCTTTTATGATATCATACCTGGAAATTTATTCACTCTAGCTGAAGTCAAACTGAAATTCCTATTGCCTTCATCAAATGCTCCCGAATGCCAATAGATGTCTGAATCAGTAGAGGAACCAGAAGTACACTAGAATATAAAACAAAATCAAACACAAAGTAACGATCTAGTCAACCTACTTCTTTCCAGCCGAGTTCTTGTAGACACATTCGAAGAACTTCAATATTCGATCGAGCTTGACTGGTATCGATTATAGGCATACGTTTATATGATTTTCTGTTTTTTCTTTTAACTGTTGGTGACACAGGTGTTTTTGATGTCATTGTTGAGAAATTTTTATTCGACAATAATCTATAAAAAAAAATGTTGTTCTTGCAGGGGATTTATGGCTATATGAAACTCTTTACACATTGCCTTTCAAGCTTTTCGAAGATTCGTTCAAGAAGTGTTTCGACACTTGAGAACATCTTCATGCATCCTGAAGAGTGATTTTCGATCATGTACATATAAGTCGCATGATTTTTTCGAGATATGTTAGAACTATAGTGAAGAGGCTACCGTAACAACCTTTCGTCTGATACTATTGCTTTTGAAGAAGATATTTGCTAAATACGAGTCACAAATAGGTCATTTTGGTGTGAGTGTGCGATTCCGTCTGATCACACCCCGCCACTTTCTCTATGGGCATTCTTCATCAACTGATCTACAGTGTATCACCTACATTTGAGAGTCAATTTAAAATGTTGATTACGACAACCGAACGCAAGAGAAAGTGACCTTGGAATTTTTCTCAGCTCAACAGTAGAACGATAGATCTGTCAGTACGCAACATGTAAAACAAGTATTTCAGAGATATCTCTCGATTAAACTACCTTTGATAATATTCTAGCGCGAAGAGTAAAGATTCTAGAATCGATCCGAAATTATCATATGATTTTCTTGACAGAACCTATTGTATAAAATAAAAAGAAGTGCATCAAATTCATAGTTACCATAGAAAGATAAAAGCAAACGAATCGTATAGATTCATATTTCATATTTACAACGGTCTCAAAAACAAAAAAAATAATGTTTTCTTTATTTAACAGAGCAAAAAGTTGCATTTTATAACCTTTTCTTCTCACATTTATTACTGCAAGCAACGCAATTCATATCGCACGTCATATTAATGTTACGAGCGAGAAATGTTGATAGCAACCACCTTGTGATTCACCATCTCACGCAACAACAACGTCATTGACTAGCAAGGAAAGGAGAACAACAAGATTCAAACAACATTTCATCTTAAATTTATGTTTTTAGATTTCTTGACAAAAATTGTCACCATGATTTTGTTAGATAGAACGTGTGCAAAACAAAGCATGTGTACAAATGTGAGTGTGGATGTACCTAGGGTGTAGGTATGAACAAGAGACTGATATCCACACCCACACACCTCATGGCAAGGTGTCGAAATACGGACAGGAAAAATTTCGTCAAAACGGATGTTGACTTCGAAAGTGTCGAAACTTTTATCACAATGCAGAATACTGTCCTAGTATACGTAAAAGTAGCCCCCAACTTGATCGTTGCCTTCATCCGCACTCGTCATTCGCATCCCCAGCTTACTACGACGAAGGAATAACGCAGCTGTGTGAATATTGTTATCTAGAGTCATTACCAGTTGGTGCGAAATCGAAGTAATTTAATACATATATGCTGATATATAACATAAATATATGATTATTGCATTTGTTTCTTTATTGATGTATATTCTTCTTCTTATTCATGTGTATTTGAATTTGTAATCATAAATACAATTTGATCACCCGTTCAATTTTTTTCTATTTTTTTTCAATTGTCGACATTGTTCTAGTTTCCTCACCCTACACCTCCATCCTGGTTACGAAATGTGGTTGGTTCAGTGAATTGGTTATCGTGTTTATTCTGATGCATCATCGGTTGTCTGCTAACGTGGATCACGCTTTTAATTAAAAAATATAGATTATAATTTAAGTATTTCTCCTCAGGACAATGAAAAGTGACACTCATTGTTTCCTTTTATGTTTTTTTAATTTTCAGTTGTTAGCGATAAAGTCCAATCGAAACTAATTGGTCTCGCAACATGTTCCAACGATGATTTTTTGCCATTTCAAGTCGATAGAAATAAGCCCAGAAAGAAAAGCAAGTTGGTTTTCATTCATTGTAATACCATTAGCTTATTAAATTTTTTATTCTAATTCTTGTAGTTTCGATAAAAATAGGATTGTATGATTCATTGACTTTAAAAGGATTCTTTTTTGTCCATTGCTAACAGTCCTTTGTTTTCTTCCTTCTCTCGAGAATGAGAAAATTTCACCTTTTTTTAAATACATTATCTTTCTCCAGTTTCCTTATCATTCTTTCGTTATTTTATATGATCTCTCACCATGCACATTCCTTTCATTTTCCTTTTTTTCGCCCATCGAGAAACGTGTTATTGTTTTTAGCAGCAATATGACAACCCATATCATGTTCATCTGATATGATATCGATAATATCGAAGACTGTGCTTATAATCAATGAAAGAATATTTTATTTACTTTCTATCATGATCAACAAAGCTGCGTCGATTCGATTAAATCAATACCGAAAAGTGAAACAATATTTTTCCTATCACCTTCGTCATATACACTAGAAATTTTATCATTGATAAATCATTTCCCGTAATTAAATTTCAATTTGTATTTATTCGATTGATCAAGTAAATAGATTTGATGAAAATATGTTTGATAAATCTTCGAAAATAATTGGTATCTTCAATAAATTCGAAGATTTATTTCAATCGATTCACGATTATATTGGTCTAATTAGTTAATAAACAAATTGAAACATTCAAATTCTATCAAGAATATCAAAAATCAACTCGTCAATCATTCAAAGAATTTGTTTCATTTCTTTGGTAACGCTTATTCAAAGATGTTATCCTTCAATTATCCCATGATTAACAAGCCAAACAAGAAATGATCGTAAAATTAAAAGAATACAATCGTAATAATAATCAACAAATGATATTAATTGAAAATTTTCATCGCACATATAAATCCGAAGATGCTTGTCAATGGTATACGAAAGAACCATTTTTATACAATCATTTAAATAAAGCTTTACGTACAGAAGATAATGAATTCTTACACAAATTTCGTTATTTTATATTTGATCTTTCACAAAGCTTTTGGTGTGAATATAAACAATTAAAAGATTCATTAGATTCAATAGTCACATATAATGGTGTTCAAATATCAAAAGAAAAAGCTTAAAAGTTAGAATCTGGTGTTGGAAACCTTCTTTCAACAAATGAATATTTATCAACAAGTTTTCAGAAAAAAGTTGCTTTGACGTTCATTAGTGAATCAACAGAAGAAAAAGGAACAATTTTATTTGAAATCGAATGTGATCTGCACAAAACCGATTCGATTATTATGGTTTCGATTGCTCATTATAATCAACATCCAAATGAAGAGGAAGTTTTATTTGATTTGGATGCGGCTTTTGAAATATTATCTGTTTCAAGAGATCTGTCATTGAATGCTTTTGTAATGCGAAGCTTATCTATGACCGCTTTCTCACAACTATCGGACAATATGACCAATGACAATAGTATTTTGAGCGTCTATTAGAAAACTCAAATGACAAAATTTAGACTGCTGTACAAAATTATGTCAGCACCGTTTTCACATATCCTAAGAACACTCAAGTTTTTATGTTAAGTGACGAAGAAATGTTTGACTTGCAACATATAATCCTGAAGATTTCTAGTCAACTAAACGTGTGAGACTCAAGAGATGCTAAACTAAACGGGTTGTTTGGTTGGAGTTTCAAGTCAAGAAACCTTCACTGACTCAATACAGAATATTCAGTGTTTTTATACTTCGATGATAGTAGAAACAAATTGAAATGAAAAGTTATTTAGGTAATCTCAGTGGCATGGAAATAGCAAACACAATGGAACTATTGAAAACATGATGAAGAATATGTACTATATATATATTGAAGCTTGCTAGGCGAATCAATCGAGCAAGTTCCTTTTAGCATTATAGATGGTGACCAATATATCTCTGGAGGGAGTAGAGGATTCCACTTTTTTTACCATATTCTTCAACACTGATTAACAATCGTGTTTCATAAAATTTTTTATTCACAAAGAACCACTCATTCGTCTCCAAATTTAGCAAAGATAGGTGACTTGTACTATATCCGATGTTGCATTGCCACCACAAACAGATCTCTCTTTGTATTATCTTTCTGATTGAAAGTATTACATAAGAAAGGATTGCGAAAGGAAAACTTTCTTAGACTATTTAGTGCCTACTTATCGCCAAAATGAGGTTCGTTATCTATTCTTAGTCATTAAGAGACATGCAAAGCCCTTGTTATGATTACGTCTTTTACGAACAACTTCAATCTTTTATTTATTATTATTTAGGTATGACTGAGTTTAATAAAGGAAGTCATGAAAACGCTTTGGAATATTATAAACATTCGTATGATTTGTTAGTGAATACTGAGATTCCACGTGTGGGACCATCAGCTTATCTAATAAATGATATTGGCTCAATTTTAAACATTCGAGAACAATATGATCAAGCTCTGGAATATTATATGCGTGCGCTGAAAATTAGCCAAGATCATTCGAATTATCCTGTGATTGCTGTTTCTCTAGGAAGCATTGGAATAATCTATCGTATCAAAGGTGAATATTATTGTGCATTAAATTATCAAATGAGATGTCTTGACATGAAAAAAAAAATTTTCCGAACGAACATAGAGAAATAGCGAAAATATCGGATCATATTGCTGCCGTATTTAACGGTCTGGGTGATTTCGCTGGTGCAATGAAATATCATCAAAAAAGTTTAAAAATGCATGAAAAATATCTACTGAACGGACATGATAATATTGAACCCAATTTCAATCATCTTGCTCATCTATTAACTAATCAAGAGAAATACAATGAAGCTTTAAATTAGTATGTTGCTTCGTTGAAAAATAAAGAAAATGTCTCACCCAAATGGATATATCAGTATTGTTATAATTTTAAGTAAAATTGGATATATTTAGTATTTGAAGAAAGATTATAATCTTGCATTTGATTATCTAAAGAAATCGATGAAAATGTGAGAGAAATTTTCTTCTGATATATATATGATGTTAATGTTTCAAATACTTTAAAATATTTCGCTTTGGTTTTAACTACATCACACAAATACGATGATGCATTGATCTATTCAAAGCATGTTTTTGATCTCTCAAAAGCATTACTATCTCTCCGCTATGAAGAATATTCGTATTATCTATCATGAAATGGGTGATTATATTCAAGTATTTGAATATTTTAAAAGGGCACTAGGAAATGAAGATGCAGATCCAACGAAACCTAGTTTTATTCGACTAGCTCGTAATTATGATAATATGGGAGTTTGTTTGTGTCAACAAGATAATGATAAAATTGGATTGAAGTATTGCATAAAGCTGTCAGATTAATTGAGCAAATTTCTGCTCGTACTCGACATGCTGATTGGATTGATACTATCGGAAATATATTTCTTGAGAAAAAACTATTCGACAAAGCTTTAAAATGCTATTTAATAAGTTTAAATATGAAACTAGAATGTCTTCCAGCGGATCATGTTGGTATAGCAGATAGTTAAATGTTTCTGGGTGATGTTTATGTTGAAAAACCGAATCTTGAAAACAAACAATGTAAACTTAAAGCTCGATCATATTATGAACAAGCATTGATGATTTATCGAAAATAGAATCATTGCAACACTGTTCATATTTTAAATAGTATTGGTGGCATTTATGAAAAAATGCGTAAGTATTGTCTTGCCATTGTATATTATAGAAAAGCATTGGAGATATCCGAAAAATATTCTTCTGTAGATACGTCTGTTCGAGAATGTGGGTATGGGTGGGTACAGATTTTGATCTTCTGTTTACTAAAATCCCGAGCGCATCCACGTGACACTACCAAATCTCCATCATGACGAGTGATATTATAACCGTTAATCAAAAAAGCTTCAATATGATGTAGATCATCCTATTAAACATACAAACATATCTCTGAAAACATATAGTTCAACGACAATAAAAATTTTATTTGAGACACTTATCTTGAAGACTAATAGTCGACTATTCGAAACTTTCTACACATAGAAATTAATAATTTAAGTTATTCAGACGATTGGTTCAAAATGAAAGCGAGCTACTTGAAAAGTTTACAAGATTTACATAGATTTTGAAATCCTGAAATTGATTAGAATTTGGAATTCGCATGAAACTTTCTTAACATCGTAAAATAGTATAGTTCTCATTCCTAAAGTGAGACTCATTATATGTAAGAATTCTAATTAATAGAGAAAAGTTTATTCTTGGAAATATTTTCATGCAGACATTGTAATATAGTGTGATTTATTTTGACAATGTCATTCTTCATCCTAATGTATTTTTCAATCTAGGGAATTTTATATGATATCCTTCGTTCTCTTCAAATGATAACCATAACAGAGGTGTTATGAACGAATCCGAGATGACTGCGTAACATTGATAAATTTCGGTGTTTTTCTTCGATAATTTCACGAAAATTGCTTGCATTTTGTACTCAATAAAAGTCAAAAGTTAATTATTGAAAAACTAGTAGATAATCTTTTGTATGATTTGTTTTGACAATCAACAAACTCTTATTTTTACAATTTTTTGTTAATGAATTCTAGTTAGTAATTAGCAAGTAATTATAAAACAATTTTGAACAAGAGAAAAACAAGAACAGCTAGCTATTTATTTGTAATTATTTTACAATCATCAAAACTACGTCTCATACTCTATAATGACTCTTCTAGTTATCAGCCGGTGCATTAACATTAATATGAACATCATTTGGTCCTCGATATTTTTCCTTAAATTCAAACGACAATAAAGCACAGTATCAGCTCACCATATTTCGAGAACATTAGTAGAGATGCAGTAACGCTCGAGGAGAAATAAGTGATTGATGATGGATTATCAAGTGATAAAGATACATATTTATTCATATGCAGTGCCACCAATGTCAAATGCTTTAGATTTTCGAAGAGAACCATAATATGTGCATATACACATTTCTACTGTAAGCTTTCAGCAACTTTTCATTGGTATATTCATTATTATTATGAAGACCAAGATCTGTGATAGAATGTGGTTTTATGTGCTTAGTATTCCTTAGCCCATACCCACATCTATATACCAACATCCACACACTCGCAACTACATTTTCATACAATTTATTTGGATTCTTAACAAAAAAGTGAGACGATGGGGTTTAACATGCGTACAATATTGAAATGTATAAAGAGTGCATATTAGTCAAGACTATTGATCGTATTTTTTCTTGACGAATTAACAAGTCTGCTTGTAGCTGTTTTAGTTGTATTGATATTAATATAAAATTCGTCCATCTAGATGAGATTTGGCATAGCATTCATTTGCAGTATGTGAATCTCGTCCACATCGAGTGCAGTCTAATTCTTGACCATCGATACCGAAGGAAGCGTAACATGCATTTTCATAGTGTGTATCTCTACCACATCGAGTGCAGTGCATTGGTCGCCGCTGCCATCTTCTTCGATTGAAGCATTCGTTGGCAAAATGACCAGGCTCTCCACAATTGAAACATCGCATTGTTTCTGGTACACGAGATTGTCGATCTTCATTAGGACAATTGTTTGCAAAATGACCACATTCTCCACAACGAAAACATGCATTCTGATTTAGTGCTGCTCTAATTGCTGACTGTTGATCTTGCGTTAAATAAATATTCGACCATTGGGCACCTCGAACATTATTGATACCATATTGGTCCATGTATTCCAATGTTTTATTCATTTCATCAAATTGATTTTCGATGTCTTTTATTTCGATGATTTCCAAGGGTTTATGAAGCCTTGTCCATTCACTACCATATTCGCCATCGAGATGTTCAGCAAATCGCCGATCAATATCAGACGTTTGTCCAACATAATATTTACCATGTTCACATTTTAAAACATAGATTTGTTCCATGATCTGAAAACTTCACGTTTATCTGAAAGTGAAAAGCAAAGAAAGAGAACGAAGCATGAGCGCAACGGTGATACCAAGGAAGCTGAGCCCCAGCATACGACGGTCTGAGGTTGGATCTTTTTGAAGCCAACATGAGTTGTTACCTATTATTTTTATCTGTACCAGATTATAGGTGAAGATACTGCCATTGAAATATCAAGAACCTATCTGATACAGTTAGAAACTTATCTTAAATGTGTATGACTTAATATGTCACTGAGGGTGTGGGTGTTAGTAAATAGAAGATCAAAATCCATACCCACACACCCTCGTTCCGCCATAGACATGTAGAAGCGAGGTAACTACGATATAGATTTAACTTAACTAGTCTGTCAGAATTATTGAACCGTACTATCTTGAAGTCATTTCATGGAATTGAACATACGGTTTTTTTTATCGTGGTCGAACGATAGGGGCGAAGAAGAACCGAGACAGTTGGAAAAAACGCTGTTTTGCCGTCTAAACTATGCTTAAAGTTACATATTTTAAACGTTAAATATAATTATGCTAACTATAAATTCGCTGAAGATTAAACATATGATTTTTTATGATTTGATCTGCAGTAAACGATTGTTTGTTTGACAAGTTTCTGCTCATTCAACCAATATTTGATCAAATCAATGAGTGGCTTTTATTATTTTTTGTTTTGACGAAAGAGAAAGATTTAATTTCGTATCCGTGGTAATATTTATCTAAATAAAGCAAAATTTCGTGAATTTTTAAAAACTTATATTTGAATAGAAGTATTTTATATAAGTTTCAAGTTTTTTATTTTTGGTAGAAGTTGGAAAACTTGTAATTCACAATTAAATATTTCTCTTTCGTGCAAAAAAGCTTCAAACTACCTATTGATTTGATTAAATATCAGCAAACATTGGTTACAGACTGACTTCTAACTATTTTTTTTATTTGTCTTTCAAAATGTTGTATAATTTTGTAGATTGATTATGGATAATGTGAACGTCTTATATCTGATAGATATTCTACTGAAGTTATTTCGAGCTTGTTAAACTAACTCCAGAATCTAAATAACTCTAAATACCTACACTGTAGAAAATATAAATTTAGTCGTAAATTGTAATCTGTCATACTGACGATGAATAATGGAAGAAAAAGAACCTACTTGAATATCTAAGCATCTGATGCGAACTTAGCGATAAGCGTTGTATTTTTAAAAGTGGATTGATTTAAGCGCGCAAAAATTATAGATAAAAAATCTTGATACTCTTTATATATTTTCTAAAATAATAATACGAATATTCTACATTATTGAAATAGCTCTAATATCTACTCACTATCAGAACTTTGACTTGTAATTTGAAATGAGAATGCATACTTAACATCATATTTTTTTTAATAGTAGAAGATTTAAAAACCTACGTTTTTTATCTTACAGACTTGTTCAATGATGAATTTGATAACCTAATGAATAAATTGTATGTTATATAAGACAACCGACCTTTCAATCAACTTAATTTCTGACCTATGTCGGTGCAATTTAGCAAAGGTCACAAATATTTTTCGATGAAAAAGGTAAAATATGCTTAGTTCTACGTAAAACTTTTTTTAAAGTACTCTATTCTAATAACATCTATAACTACAGAGCCTTTTTACTCATGCTTTGTAAGCTCTGTCAACTCTTAATAAATGTGATATTCAAGATTAAATTCACACACAATCTACGTATTTTATTTCGTGTACGGTCTCAACGCTCTTGAAAACGATGCGAACTTCTCGAAAAATCTTTACCGAATGAATAATGCAATAAGCTGCTTCTATTTATACTTTTTTTCTTTTCTTTTCTTCGTATTGTCGCGAAAGTACAAATGGTCGAACGAAAAATAGTCGAAAAATTGATGATAACAGGATCAAGGCTTTAACTCAGATGAATAAGGCAAATCAGAGTGTGGACGTTAGTGGGAAAAAGGCACAAGAAGACTCACATCAACAACCATTCTTTATTTGTACTTGTTTTACTGGTTAAGACAAATTCTGGACAATAGTCGACATCTACTTTATTTTTACATGATCTTACCATCAAAATCTGAAGTATTAGAAATAACTCTTGTACTGACATCCTTTTCTTTCATACTACTGAAAGATTTTGTTGAAAATGTTTTGTTCTTTTATTGTGAACTGTTCAACTAATTTTCGAGTCGACCAATTTTCGTAGACCTCCTTTTCTTTGCTGACTACATTTCTCCTTTCTTACTTTCCACTTCTCACTATGGCTCTTTTCTTTCTTTGCTTCTCCTCTCGCTCTTTTTCTCTCACGCAAATAAGTATAAGTACTAGATAAAAATTGACTTTGTAGTGGTTTCAACTTCCTATATTTTATTGAAAAAAGAAATGTTCTTTTGAAAAGAGTTAAATATTTCGTTAAAAAGTGCCTTGTGTGTGGTGTAGATTTTGTCAGTAGCCTCTAACAAACAAGGGTAGATAAGAGTGATTTTCCTTAGTTTTATATAAGTACAAATACAGCTAACTACTTTTTTTTTGAGAAATAAATCATCAAATAACAAAGAGTAATAAAGGCTCCAAATGATTAAAATTACTTTTACTTGTACTTTAAAACCATTAAAAGTAGACATTCAAGAGAAACAATTAAATAAAGACAAGCACAGTTCTATTAAAGAAGGAATTATACTACTTTGTATGTGTATAACAGATTATGCTTGATTAATCATAATTTTTAACATTTATCATAACTCTTCACATAGTAGAGAGTGATATATAAAAACGTTTAAAGGAGCATATATCGATCATGTAATATAATAAACTGTTTGAAACGTGATTGAAGCGTCGAAACAGAAAAAAAACATCAGAATCACCTTTTTTGTCGTTTATCACCGTTTTTTTTTGAGAGAAACAATCAAATGCAGCCGTTTAAACGACACAATAGGCGTTTTCCTTTCGTCTGGATGTAAATGTTATTTTTCTGAATAGATCACGGAGAAAATAATGTATACTTACACAACATAATTGCTTCTTCAAATTATTTATTCTGTTCTGTGTCTTAGTCATATTTTTTGGTGCGTGTAACTTGCTTATGATGAAAAGCGACGCGGCGTGTTGTTAGCTTCAGGTAGTGAAATAAAGTATGATGATGGTGACGTCAGATTGAAGTATCGAAATCTAACTCATCATAGTCCCTGTTGTTGATTCAACAAAGCACAGGAAAAAAAGATAAATTACACATGAGAAAAAGCTATATGAGTGTGTTGATACACAGAATGCCGCAAACCAACAGACAAATTATAACACTTATTTTGTTCTTTATTCAGTCACAGACAATTATTTATTTCGCTACCTCGGGTGTGAGTGTGGATGAGGAGAATACTCACAACTACACCTCACCCTACATCATCTGGATCTGTTTGGTTTGTTTCGAGTTTTCTTTTAACTGTTCTTCGTAATAACTCTAAAGTTCATCAACTACTTGTTTTCCTGATACTATTTCTTTTTCGCTGTCTAGTTTCGAAAATGATAAAATCTTAGACTTGTAGACGCGATACAAATGCTATCAAAATTCTTTTCTGGTCTGCCGTAATTTGTTTGAGTTATAGATAGAAAGGATTACCATCTATTTGATTCATATTCACCAATTTTTGTTTTTACTTCGCGTGTCACCACTCACAATAGAACGCGAGTGTCTTCATTATGTCATCCACTCATTTTTTTATCTGTAACAAATGTTTCTTACGCGTCTGTTTTTTTCCAGCTGATCTTTTATGTTTGATGGCAGCAATGGTTGGTATTTTTCTTTTTCCTTCCACATGATTACTTTATTTTTTACTGCTGCAAGGACTCGAGTATATTGGTGGTACCATTCATGTGCTTACATATCATTTTGCTCTCTTATCTAGAACTTTTGTAGGGGAGCCAGCATGCCTTCGAATAAGTTCCATCGAACAAGTTCCATCGAACAAGAGGATAAAAATTAGTTATTTCAAAACCTACATTTTCGCATATAATCACAACAGACTAGTGATCACTAGTTCCACAAGATAAAGTTTGTGCACCTATATCATCTATATTCGAGAAAGTCAGATCGAAACAACGTAAAGAACGCTTAGATGTGTGTGAGGTGGAGGGAATGTACACGAAGCTTTTCTCCTCTATTCATTCTTTCAAAATCTATCACACGTATCTGACTATACATTGGTATTTGTTTCATTTCTGTGTTTTTTTATTGAATTCAAGATAAGAAAACGACATGCACAGTTCTGAATGAATTAGTGTTTACGTACATCTTCCTTTCATATTTGGATTGTATGTATTGCGAGCAAAACATTGCGCTGCTATCTTGTCATACAGGCAAGCCTTGTATTGCGCAGATGATGGATCATTCATACATTCCCAAGTAAAGTCGTTGATGAGATAATACGATGCCAATGATCCCCAGCCTTTGTAACATCCATCATGAGCTTTACAACGTGCATCAATTACATCCATAATAGTTTGTCCTTTATTACCACTTCCACACCTAAAACTAAGATTTGTTAGAACACAAAAGTAACTGATTTCAGTTTCCATACCAACATCCATAGTTATTATAATCCAATGGATTTCGGTTCGTATAATGATAAATGAATTCTGCAAAGCCGATGATGAATCGTGGCTATATTGATTGTGACTGAACTGGTCCTCCTCTCACTAACACGCTTGCTGTTGCTAGCAGTATTAGTACTTTGCACAAGAACTGGTACATCTTTGCTTACTTGAAGTAAAATGAAAATGACTTATTTTCGTAATGTTTCAATTTTGCCGTTACATCTGAATGAGCAAGTATGTATATGTACACGATAAAGCGAGTCGGAAGTGACATGTCTTGACTTTTATTTAGTTGCACAATCATTTTAACTAATGACTCAATATTGAAAAACTATGATGATTCTTGTCCGAATTTTCATGATCAACATATTTCATTCTTATCTTTGCGCGCATGCGATTTAACCCAAAACATTGTAAATCGATGAAAGCGACCAGATTCTTACTTCCTTTCTCTGATTGTTTCATGCGTAATTTAAGCATACATTGCTCATCCTGAAATTCTGAGTCAAAAGAATTGAATGCAGTTCCGCTTTTTTCCAATCAAACACACATAAGCGCGAAGAGTCATTTGAGGGTATGGGTGTGAGTAAGAACAGTGAAGATCCACATTCACATCTACACTCCAGATCCACCTCCCGCGTATTCGACAATTTGAACACGATCTTGAATTAGCCAAACAAAAAGTACAATAAAATATAAAAAATGGTTTAAATAATGAAATAAAACATGAAGATTTATTAAAAAAATTTGATGGAAAATCTATTCAATTAAAACAACATGATAAATTAAATAAAGGATTTCAAGATCTTATTAAAAATTATCAAAGAAAATCTATCGAAAGACAATAAGCAGCATTGTAAATCTTTTGATACTCTTTAAACTGAATATGAAAATTTAATAAATGAATTACATGAAACGAAGCAAGCTGCAGATAATATGCAATCATTACTTGATGAAACATCTCGAGAACAAATTGTATAAATAAGGACTAGAAAGTTTTTCAAAATCTTGAATTTGTTCATCCTTATTGATAAACGTGAATATTCATATAGAAATGCAAAGTATCATTGTAACTGAAGTAAAAATTCAAAAACCAATTCTATATCATATGAATCTTTATTGAAAATCTTCAAATGATAATAATATCAGGCATATCGCTCTGAAATAGGAGTGTATCTGTGAAAAACTGGTTTTTAGGAGAATTTTTAAAATTTGATCTTGCTGAGATCATAGATATAATTATTGGCATAGAATCTATTCTGATATTCTTAAACTTGTATCTCTAAAATTTAGGAATTCAAATAGAGATTTTCTTATAACTTTTGGTCTCTGTTATAAATACAGAAAAAAATAATTTATAAATCATGTAGCTATTCAAGCTTATTCAAACTAGAAAAAACCTATTCTCTAGAATACTCATTGATGAAAACATTCTTATAGCAACATTGCTGATCCAACCAGAAAAAGATCAAAACTATACAATACAGGAATTTATTATTTGATCGACTTAGACATGACTTACTGTTTTTAAATTTCGGGAGAAACTTCATGGTAGTACTGTCATCAGCGCTGCCCTATTAGCCATCATTGGTACTAAATATAGTGACTGGTGTTCATTTTATTGTAATAGTCAAGAAATGCAACTCTCGAATGTTTGCCTCATAGTCGTAATATAGGTACGATTCTGGAATATATATAGACTCACAAAGAGAAAAGTGACAGTGACTTATGAGTGAATTTTGATAATATTTTTTCACTAAAAATCATAAATTTTTAATTGTTCAAGTCACATTCTCAGTTCTTTATTGGCTAGCAAATCGATTTAGAGTAAAGAGACGCATCAAAACAAATTTGTTTATGGTGCTTAATCTGATAAAATATCAATAATTCTCATCGTGTTTTAATTATCAGCGAGAAATCTCTCGATGTTATAAAAAATTTTGAAACAAACTTCCTGTCATCAAGTACATCCTACTGTGACTAGACAATACGTATAATGATTTGTGTTCTGATTAGATACGTTTTATTTTCAACTTGAACACACGTTCTCTAAAATATACGTTTTCGCTGAGAATTTGCTATTTTGATGAACTAAATATCAGATCGATTTCAGGACGATTTCAATTCATTGTACTTTTTGTCTTTTTTTTAGATAAAAGTTTGGGTATATGTACCACACACACTCGCACGTTGCTTTGAAAGACTCTAGAAAGTTGCCGGAAAATTTCGACTTGAAAATTACGAATAACATCTTCTTTCGAAAAATCTATGTAAGATGCAAAAACTTTATTGAAATACATAGAATCATACATAGCGAGGTTAGAAAGAAGTATAGATAAAGAATAAAACAAAATATCTATAGAGAGCTAATTAGCGAGAATAAAAAGATGAATAGACAATGCTTAAATTAAACGTTTTACAAAAAAAAAACTCCTGTAGTTATGAATAACTTTGACAAAAACCATTTGACGGTGTGATTTGTTGCACGTTTGATTTTATTGTTGTACGGCTGTTAAAATAAGGATCTGGATTTTGAACGAATGTTAGATATTGTTGTTCGTTAACACCACTCAAAATTCCTTCTATAAAGTTTACAATAGTATTGGCCTCATCTTGTCTAAATTGTGCAAAGTTACACGTGGTCAACATAGGTAATTGTGAACATGTTGCACAGACGGTATTCATTGCAGTTCTTGCCACATCATCAAACATATCTGCATGACCATAATCAGTGGAATTTAACAACCATTTTGGTCCCGGTAGACATTCATAAAATCGATCATTGCTCATATTATTGGGTGCACAAGCCGGTAGTCCAGAATATGCCGGTTTACCGTCAGGACCAGAACTTATTATGAGTACAGAAGTGTTGAATGTCAAGTTTTGTGGTGGATGAGTGACGTAAGCTAAAAAAGCTTGGTCATTAGTCGTGTATACATCTGGCGGTAGAATAATACTTACCAGCTTCATTTGTATCCTAGGAACTACTACGATCAACAGGATTCATTAGTATAAGAAGTTTTACTTGAGCATATTGTGTACCACAACGCTTTGTCAGATACACTGTGAGTACATGGCATCCAGCTGATTGTGCCAGAAATGCTAGTTGATTTTCAAGATCAGGCACAACATTTGTTGTCAGTGGATTCTTTTCAAACAAATATTTTGCTCCTTTCGTTGGATCCGTGATATTTATCATAAACTGAGCAAATTTTTGTTCAACATATTCTGCTGTTATATTTTCTATCTTACTCAAAGCAATGACGATAATTTTTTGATCAGCAATTTTTGTTAATAGGTTTGAATATACAGCAGCCGGCACGAGACCGCCAAATCCAGTCAAAAAAATAACCACTGGATAAGTACCATTGTCAGTAGTTGTATAAATGTTGACATCGAAACTCTCGATATCCGGTATAAACCAATTTATTGTAGCACTGAATGCTGTTACGACAGTGCACAATAGGATTACACCAATAATTAGCTTCATTTCTTTTGATTCGATTTTGCTTTCTAAAACTTGACTTTAAAGTTTATTCGCAATGAAGAACCAAAGAGATGAAGTTAGAATAGGTTGAAAACAAAAATTTTCAAATATTTCGAAAATGTTCACTGATCAACGTTTCTGATGAGTTCGTCTTGGAAGAATCGGTTCTAAATCTTTACATTGGAAATTGCACGTCAGTTTGAAGTTGAACTGAAAACTGAACAAAAGATTTTGCTGTAAAATGTATACCTATTGTCAAATGAACAGTATCTTTGTTCTTTGCCGTATCTATATTTTGTAACACCTAATCATACATTTCTAAGACAATTAACAACGTTCTACTTTCTTACTATTCAGCTCGTTCTGCTTTCTTTGCTTCCAAAGATAATGAAAAGGCAATATCGAGCGGAGAGATTAAATATGAGAAGTCTTTAGTTTGTGAAAATCTTTAGCCGACAGTTTCAATATACAGTTTCATTTGGAAATTTGTTTTGCATAGAAAGAAAATTTATTCATTTTTTGTTACTGTATGCAATATTTACACAAGGAAAATAGAAAAAGAGTATACATTCTTTTTGTATATTTTCTGATGAAAATCAATACATACTGCTGAGAAGTGCTATAACCATTCACTTCTTATTTAAATACTACTGAATTTACGTGTAACAACTATTAGTATGATTTTATACTATCGTCAGGTTTTATTGACCAACAGTGAATAGCTTTTCATTCTTACTCAGAGCTTTGTTGATTTTATTCAAAAAAGCACAAAAGAACATCTTGTTGAAAGCAATTACTATTGTTGATTTTTTCACAAAACAAAAAACCTTCAAAGGACATCAAGTTTAGCCTACCTGTATGGATGAAACAACGTCGTTTATCTATCTACTCTTTAGCTGTTTTCATTGATCAACAAACCTTTAATATCTGCTCTCCTCGTCTCACACGACTGATTATTGCATATTTACATCGCATACAAAAGATACATATCATACATGAATAGGTAAAATTGAAATATCGACATTTAGCTAGCCTATTTTAATATTTATTAGTAGTTATTTACGTGTGTTCGTCCCTATTTCATGAATGCATACATATGAGGAGAACTATACAGTAAAAAGGAGCAAAGTCTAATAGCACAAAACCTAAGATCGACAGTCAACTGACCAATACAATTATTTAACTAGATACCCACACCCTTAAATGTCTATACATGGTTTTATTTCAATGGAAAATGCTTTCTCGAAACAAAAAAAGATGCTATTCGAAGTAGGGCAACCCAAAAATAGTGGCGCCATTACTTTATTCCTGTATCGAAAGCTTGAAGAAATTTCCTTTTTTATTTAGTGATCAATAAAAGGATGCTTTATTATTTTTTTTTTTGCATTGTTTCATCACTCTTCAATTTATATGATAATAATAAGATTTCGATTAAAACTGTGTTGATGTAAAACTTGACTATAACATTAGATCATATTAACATCCATGTGCGTCCTCTTTATTCTTCTCTTTTCTTTCATCTTGGTTTTTCGTCTCTTTCCATGCCTAACCGTTTGTCAATACATATATACCAAGATGTCTGTCTTGTTTGTTTTGTGTGTGCTTGTGTAGAATTTATTTGTACATTTTCAATAAAGTCAAATAAATAAAGTTAGTTTAAATTTTAACACTATTCACCTGTTTCAGATGAATACTGGAAATGAAGAGGAAGCAACGTACTCCAGGACTCCGCTCTCCTCTGAGATATGGAAGTGCATGCTATTTCAAAATCTGCTTCAGTTCCTAGGAATAGAATCCTCGCCAGGTTTTGGATTCCTCTGGACGAAACGCGAAACCTGCACACTGGTCCAGGTTCCCGAGTATGGAAACCCGGTAACCTACTTGAAAATTCGTTTCCATGCGTATCTGATTATATTGAGACTAATGGACGTGCTTATTTTTCCAATCTATGTCAAATTGATATGGGTTCCTGGGTTTCCAAGAACGGAACCAGAAACTGACACCCCTACAACAGAAATAGATCGATTTGAACAAAAAAAAATGCTGCATATATTTTTTTTCTGTTTTTCTTTTTTTAAACTATTTTTTATAGTATTTGATGATAACTATGATGAATAAATGATTCTTTTGTTTCTAATCAAAGCTCTTGTTTTTATATACATAGATTTATTTAATTCATTTGGATTGATGGTTACCAAAATAAAATTGATTCGATTTGTTATTAATGAGTTGTATTTATTATTGAAATATTGATTTCTCAATAAATCTTGGAATGATTATTTTCATATTACAAATAATATGATCTATCTATCCATAGTCAATCATTAAATTTACTAATAAAAGTAACTATTTTTCTTGAAGTTAATTTACTTTTTTTTGTTAATAATTTCATAATCAATGAATGAATGAATGATGATATTTTAGTCGCTATAAGTAATCAGAAAAGAAACCAAATAAACGATTTGAATTTGATATCTTCAATTGTCAAGTTAAATGAATGCATGACTGAATAAATACATCATTATTAAAAGTTCTTTTTTTTAAAATTTATTTTCAATTCATTCTTTCGATGTGCGTTAGTTTAATTGAACTTTGGGTTCATTTCGATTACACGAAGTAGATTATCATGTGTTCCCTGACAAGTATTCCTGCCATTGTCTTTGTTTGTTGTTCAATGTTCATTTTTTTTACTTGTTGAACATTCTGTTTAAAAATCTATTCTTAACCAATGCATATTCTGTTTAGTGAGTAGGTAATTCACAAGATCATATCATATCTACATCATGTTTATAGATCACTGTTTTCTTGGCTACGACTCATTAGAGAAACGAAGCTCATTGTAACATCAGATGAAAGATAGAAATGTTGTGCAATGAATGAATAAAATATCATGGGTCGTTATCTTCAGGTCGTTATCATACGAATATTCAAAACAGCATTTCTTAAACTATTTGATTAGAATAAATAAAGACTTTTTGGTATTTTATGTAGATAAACGATTCGTCCCATTGGGCTCTTATAGAGCTCATATCCTTTATAATATCCTCCAAATTTCAACCAAAAAGGATGGTTTCTTCTGAAGATATTGAATTCTATAAAAGTCGGATGTTCTTGAATCCTTCATGAGAAAAGATCTTCTATTATACACTTATTATTTCGACTATAGAAAATGATTATAACTCGAAAACAAGAACCTAATGGGAAGAGTATTTTTAAAGGAGGTGGGTGTGCACTACTGCAAGAATCATAACCATGCTCACATCTCACACTCGGATCTCTGTGATTTGAAGAAAAGCTTTAAGATATGGGCAGTTATATGAACAAAGATTTATCTGTGATGCACGTGGAATGTAATTTGCAAAAGAGAATGTACTTGATAAGAATACCTTCAATAGAGGTATGGTGAATCTATCGAAATCTAGAATGTCTAACAACTGAATAATAGAAGCCTCTAGACTGCCTAAGTACTATGAATGAAGCGATAATAATTTTTCTCAAGTAATAGACAATGTAAAACATTATTTGCATTAATGATTACAATCGTACATTCAACTTTACACATTTCTTTATGAATGTGAATATAAGAAGAAATAATATCGTGTTTTCTTTTTATTTTTATAATCATGAACGTGTAGAAGAATTTAAGTGGAATTCTTATTTCTAAGTCCTTGAATAATCAATAATCACTTCATTTCATAAAACCAATTAAAGCAGACAAAGTACATAATTTTCAATGTTACAGACAATAATCCAAAACAGATTATATTAATTGATATCCTTTGCTTATTAATATTCAAGGTGATTAACTCGCCGGGATAGCTCAGTTGGGAGAGCGTCAGACTGAAGATCTGAAGGTCCCTGGTTCGATCCCGGGTCACGGCATATCCTTTTTTGTAATCGGTTTTTTTTTAAATAATAAAATTATATGTCGTACTTTATTTATACTTCTTGTTTTAAATGAATCAACTTATAAATGATTAAAAAAATAAAACAGTTAAGAAATTACATAATGGTTTCGAAAATGAACTGTGTTTCTCTTTTGTGTACAATAATTTTAATAAACTGTCGTCTATAAAAAATTATTACTAAGCTCAAGAACAAAATTTACTGTAATATTCAATTCAATCGAAGTTAGTATAAATGTATTATAATTTAATTTTGTCAGAAGACATGCTACATACACAGATGATTGTACTATGAGGTCATGCGAATAAAATTGACCTTATAAATGATAAAGTGCAGTATACACTTTTTTCTGAAGGACGTACGCATCTTAATTCTTCTGTTCTTCATTTCTAATAGCGAAAAGAAAACAAAACTTTGGCCAATATGATCTTGTCGTTTGTATTGAAGAGAACGAGCATTATGAATAACTAAACAATTATATTGAAGTTGTAGAATATATTTGTTATTTTATTATAAAATCTAATCGCCGTTTAATTGATTTATTTTCTCTGATTTGCTGTTTTTTTTTTTATTAATCACGTTTTAAATTTTTATAATAACGAAATATTATAGTTATTAAACTTCAGTCAAATTCTTAATTGAATTTTATATCGAAGTGTTCATATTCGATTTATTAAATAAATCTGCTCAAATATCACTGTAGAGTTTATATTCTAAAGGATACATATAATATGAGTAATCAATGTTTATCTATAATTATTTTTTGCCATATCAAAAAAAAAACGTCTACGGGCTTATTCTATTAAACAAATCATCGAATAATACTCAATCGTTTCATATAAAGGTCAAAAAGATGACTTTTATATTCACAATTTATCTTATACAAGTAGAATCAAAATGATTTATCTGTTGACTTATGAAATCTTTTTTTTTTTGATTATTTTTTTTTCTTGTTCGTTCAACGGTTTACATAGGATTATAATCAAAAGAGATGTGCATAAATGTTGAAGTGTCTGTACTTCCGGTTGAGAAAATTTCATACGAACATGGAAGTAATATGATTTTATTGAATAAAAGAATAATAATAATTTCTTAATAAATAGCTTAATGATATATATATCTAGATACATAAGCATCGTTCTAATCAACCTAGGTGTGAAACGAATTCTGTATAACACCTTCTTGTATGTTACATCATCAAAGGTGACAATGCGTTTTTTCCTTCCTCTTTTTTTTTCCATCGTCTTTAAGCACTATGCAAAATCAAATGTCAAGTTAGAGAATGGAAAGAGAATATTCGCTTTAATGCACATACATACATGCAAATTAATTGTCAATGTGACAAGACCACTCACTATGGATGATCGGACAATCTCGCGTTATATGTACTACTACATAAAAGCCAATTGTCCAGATGAGTCGTTAATAAAAAATCATTTTTAATTTAACATGATGGGCCTTTTTAGTCGTTTTTCTTTCTTTCTTTTTGATGTGATCTATTGTGTAATGTTTCTTGCTGGATTAGACCTGATAGATAGATAGATAGATGATGTGTCGATATGTGCATGTATGTGGATATAATATGTTTGTACTTATATGATAGTGCTCGGTCATTCGAAAGACAAGACATCATCATCATATATCTTATAAAGTTAGTATAGTTTTGTTAAATCACCTTTCTATTCTTTTCTTTTTTTCTATTATATGATGGTGGCACGTGTTAGTAAAGAACTAAGTAGACCTTCATATTTGTGATAGAAGAAGAAGTAAAATAAAGTTAGTAGGTATCTTTTTAAATAATCACGATTACTTTGAATTCTATTTCTTACGTCATTTTGTTATTTTGTTGATTCTCGATATTGATAAGAAAAGACATGGTGAAGCACTTACAGGTTACCTTTAATATAGCAAGGCTGAGACGGACAGAGAGAGAGAGAGAAAGAAAAAAAAACTATTTTATCAAACCTATATATTTATTGTCAGACGTTCTTGCAAATAATGACGAATTCTTAGTTTTCAATTCGAATTAAACATATAAACAGTAGTATGATTTATATCTATCTTGTTGTTATATTGTATACATTAAACCAGTTGTAAGCAATTAATTTCTCTTCCTCTCTCTCTCTCTCTCTTCGTTCTCCTTCCTTTCTTGCGCATATTTTCTTCATTCTACTATATATTCAATACCACTAAACCATATCAAAGACATATGATTTCGATCAATATTAACGAATAAGACGAAGTAAAAAGACAACACCAATATAAATAAATATGAGTGAGTCTTTTTCGAATGATAATGTGTGTACATATATATTTTTTTTTCTGAATACTCATGAGATTTCATATTAGTTTATCGTCTGGATAAATTATTAAACTATCGATCGTTGTTCTTTGTCTCTGTACAAATCAATTTCTATGTGCAAGTATATACTTGAACAATCTATAAGTAGAACCGATAGAATAGTTGTTTGATGTAAGACTTCCACTTGAACATCGATTAAAAAAAATTAGCATTCAACATATAATTCTTAATGCTTTACATGTCAGACAGGCTAGAATTATCTCGTATTTAACAACGGAAATGACGAACAAACATTCATCGAAAGAAAATGACAATAGTATCCATAAGTCTGTAGACAAATCATTCATCTCCATCTGGTCATATTAGTATTACCTAGTCGATCAACTAAATTAAAGTAGTAATTAATCATATTTATGATTCTCATCGATGTACATAGAAGTCACATATTTTTCATTAGAAAATGATGAAACATCATCATCAGACAATGGGCTAAGTTTATTGAGCATAACCTATTCACTAGTGCAATTTAACTAAACACTAAATGCCATTTCTTTTCTTCTATTCGAAGTTACGTACGATTGGTATTATACTTTTTCTCTAATCTCGTCTCATAGATATTATTGAAAGTATTATATGCATATCAATGAGAAAAGGAATGAATGAACACTTGAGTAGAAAATGATAAACGACATCCCACTGTCTATGTGATGATGAATTTAAACAAACGAATATTTGTATGATTATACACGCGCACACTTGACTATATTCTTCACTTAAAATAAACAAAACACTCATCGTTTTATCTTATATACTTTGATATAGGTAATGGAATATTGTTGATGAATATTATCGTATATCATTCAAATGAAGTATGAACCTTGATGATCAACGGACAAATCGAGTCCTTGTGATCTCGTCATTAATATTCATTGTAAATATTATATTCAGTATTCCATGCTATGGTTGGCATCAAACATTAACATTTAATCAAAAATTATTATATGATACAAGTAAGACTTAATAGATTATTTTCATTTAAATTACTAAAATATAAAATTTTAGATGATCAAATTTCTCTTGTTTCATCTGATATGAAATTTTTTATGTGGTATGATTCTTATGCTATTTATGGTGCACGTGACGCACTCATTTTACTTAAACCTATTTTAAATACTTCTTCAGTAAGTTTATTAAATTATTTTTTTTTTTGTAAACATCATAGGAATGATTTAGATTGAAGTTTTTTCATACAATTGGTCTATTGATGCAACAACAATGGAAGAATGTCGTCAAGAATGGGATACAAAAGTATTTGAAACAGAAAAAAAAACTACTTTTTGATTTAAGATTATTTTCATAAAATAATATTTATTTTGAAGGAAAAATGTTATAATGATGTTGTACATGTTCGAATTTTACCTAATAGTACAACAATGGATGTCTATTGTACTTATGCTCATCGACCAATGGTTCGTTCATTTGATCTTCATTCAATGTCATTTATTGACGAAAATACTCTTATACGTGATCCTCATCCTCCAATGGATTCTGAACGTTCCTACGTTATGTTAACTTTTAATAGAAGTCTAGTAACAGCTGGTTATCAAGGTGATTACATTCCAACGATACGTGCTACACAAGGAAAAACATTACTTTATGCATTAAGACAAAGTTAGTACAAAAAAGAAAAGAAACTAAACTGTTAGCATAATTCCTTTGAGATAAGAATATGTGAAACACGATAAGAGCTCAGTGGTTCCGAGAAAAAAAATGGAACTGAAAATTTTTTAGTTGATCACTAGTAATCTGTTCAAGTGTTGCATGTTCTAAAGCCGGAGAGATTAATCTATGATTCCATTAATGGTACACTAGGTGTATTTCTCACAATTAAATGGAAAGAGAAATAAATAATAGCTAAAAAGATGATTAAGACCTTTAAAATATCTAGTGAGGCAAAAAAAATTACTTTTTCAGAAAAGACATGGTTAGTTTATCCGATCTCCACTCGATAACTTTGAGCCATGGTCTTGTTAAAAGCGAGATGTTTGCCAAAAAAGTTAATCTTTTTGTATAATAGTTATTCGATGGTGCGTCTTCAGTGGTATTTTATCGCAGCAAGATATAAACTCAAACATTTTTTTGTTTGAAGATTCATTGTTGCAAAAACAAATGACCTTCAGCAAAGAAACAAGAATCATGATTTTCAATGTTTGCACAAAGTTTCAGCACTATACAGTTGAATAATACTCATAAGTTTTTCAAAAATTATAATAAACATGAACAATTTCGAAAAATGAAATATAACTTAAAAATTATTATATCATTTTTCTGATAAGCTATTATTCGATCATCTGTTTCAAAGATATTCATACATCAATTGTTTTATTCTATCTATTTTCGGATATATTTCTTCAATATCGTTCAACTTAATACTCCATAAATGTAATAAGAAAGTAGTTCATAAAAAACATTGGTTTTTGATGGTTCGAGATCTACATGAAGTTATCTAGATTGTTTTGTTCTTTGATATTAACTATACAAACTAATGCATTTTGAAAGATTTTAACAATATCTTTTCAAGGTCTACTATGAATATGAAAGAATTGAATTTAACTTTGACTCTATTTCATATTCTCATGTTTCTACTCTTTGACTAATCTTTGACACGATCTATGTAGGTCGTGTTTCATAAAATAATGATGAAATCCTTTCGTTTAGATTCATATTTTGTTGGTGGATTTAAATATGATGGAAAAGCAGTTTTTGGTGTTATTGAAACATCGGAACGAATAGAAACTGTAAGAAACTAAAATTAATGTAAAAAAACAAAAGAAGAATTTATATACTTATCTAAATTAGAAATCTATTTCATAGATAATTTTTCTTTGTTTTTTGTTTATTTGAAGAATCGTGTATCTCGATTAGTAATGGCTTGTGCTGATCGAACTGAAATCGTTCGTAAAGCTACACTTAATTGTTCAACAAATATATTTGAACAATCACGATCATTTGTCTTTCATATTTTAAGTAATATTCATTGAAATATTAAATTATTAAATATTGTTCTCTTCTCTAGCTGCTTTAATTGATCCAATTCATACAACAAATGGTACAGTATTACTCTTTGCAACATTTACTACAAATAAGTGAGAGTATTATGAACAAAAAAAAACATATTTTTATTTTTGATCAAATACATATTTAGTTCATCAATAACTGCTTCAGCTGTTTGTTTATTTGTTCTTGACAAACAATTTTATGATATATTTACTGGACCATCAATAAAAAATAGTCGAACAAATGAAATGAACGAATTAATTTTTAATTGTTCTCAATCAATACCATCAACTATTGATCGAGATATGGTTGAATCAGAAAAACAATTTTTACCTTATTTATCTAATCCATTATTCATGGAAACAATGTCAAATCATATATTTACAGCAATTAATGTCATTCAATATAAGCCTAATCTTTATTGTTTAATTATTGGAACAAGTAAAATAACATTTATTGCTATAATTGTTCGTGTTTTTTTTTCATATGATGTATTTCATTCAGGTAATGGTCGTTTATTTACGGCATTTACTGATGTAACATTTAAAACGAATATATTTGAAGAATTGACATTACCAATGAGCATGAGTTATTCAATCAACTCGATTACATATAAAAGAGTGTTTGTATTCAATATAATCAGTAATTTGAAAAAAATTACTTTTTTTTTTTTTTTTATAAATTTAGTGAGAATAATTCTTATGCGATTATAATAACAAATCATATTGGATACTTAATAATTAAACTAACATCATGTCGCGATAATCATACAAAACTTTGTTTTGAATGTTGGATGAAAGATTGTTCAATACGAAAAATTGTTTTAACAGAGTAAAAAATTTATTTATATTGAATAAAGATTGATTCTTTTTGTTTTTGTTTTTTGCTTTAGTAAAATTGATAGACACCATTGTGTTCATGAAACTAATATTCGATCAATGTCAAACAATAATACGGATATATTTGCTTTAGATATCGATAATTATTCTTCATCATTTGATTGGTCATTACCCAATCGAAATTCGGGTAAATTCTCCTACTAAGGAGCTAATATTTTTTTGATACCAGTTCGCTTTTCAGTTAGAAGTTACGAAAGAATCTCTTCATTCGCTCACTTTCGATTTTAATGATTTGTTTTTGCCTATTAACAACATCTGAGGAGATTTTTCAGGAAGCGAAGACCCGTAAAACCAAATCATTCTAGACTTCTTTTTTTATTATTGACTAGTACTCATCAAATGAACACAGTCTTCATATTCTCTTGCTTCTTTTTTTTGATTTATTTTTAATCTAGATGAAAAATCAAAAATGAAATTATTATTCTATATTGTCATTCCATTGTCGTTTATTGTCTTTATTTTAACAATATTAATTATAATTCTTTTAACAAAATCAAATCATAAAATAAAACAAGGACGATTTTATCCAACCGATTGTCGTAAAACACGAGATTCATCATCGGCACATGTTTTTTCACATACATATACAAATAATGCTATGTATAGACCTAATAATAATAATAGACAATTATTTTCTGAACGAAGAAATCAACAACATGTATTTCCTATTAAATCAGATTTATGTATACGTCAAATATCTTCCAATCCTGTTTATTCAACAGTATCATCACAAAGTTTGCCTTCATTAGTATTATCACCACCATCACTTAATTCATTGAATCCAACACAACATCTTTCAGTTCATCGTCTTTATAAAACTTATGTGTAATCATTGTATTTTTTTATTTGAATATAAATTCATATTTGTTTTCAATCATATCATCTTTCTTCGTAAATGATGATCTATTAAGCCTAGAAAAACTCTTTGTATTTGGAATCTTATTTTTATATATTTTAAACAAGGCGAAATAGCTTGCCGAATTTTCTTATTATACCTTGAATATGCGACATCTCTCTGTGTATATATTTTACTATTTATTTCCTATTCAATCATCGTTTCTTCTTCTTTTCTCTTTCTGTGATAGATATATATCAGTCGTTTAGAAGATAATTTTACCGATTTTATTCTATGATTCATAGTTATATAATACAGCACATCTTTGATTCTACAGCAAGTTTATATCAATCTGTATTCGGTACAAATGTACTATGACCAATTCATTCTTTGCTAACCAATAGTTTGACCTACATATATATCTATTCGTTTTATTGACTCTTGAAAAAACAAAATCAGATGGTTTGATTCTATGTTTGCAATTCACTTTTGATAGTCAATTAATTTAATTATATCAGACATAGGTAATTTTTTTATACGATCATAGAATGAAAAGTCACAGTTTTCTTATCTTCCAACAATTTGTACAAAATAGAGATAAGGAGATGATTCAGGTCAACTCTTATCAAGATTCTAAAGAATACGAATAGCCTCTAGTAGTAATCAGTCACATAAATTACCAATGAATGGCTAAATTTTTATATCATAAATAAAAATTTTACATCAATTTACTGTTCGACGAATTCAACACCAAAAGCATGATCAGTTACTGATCATTGTCGTCCTCGGTATTATTAGAAAGAACTTATAAAAAAGTTTTCTTATTTTTAATTTTGTAGAACATTACACGAGCTGCAACTTCATATACTCAGCATTTCACTCTATTCCGAGGCAATCTTGACGATCGATTTTAGCCGCATATAATCTTCATTTATCAATTTTCAAGTCTTGCTAAGTTGATTAATTAAACTTTTAAAGTTATCTTTCATTTATTTCATAGAGATAAATGTCTAAAGAGTTGATAAAACCTATAAAAGTCCTGAAAATCTAAAGAACGGTGAGAGAAAGAGAAAAATGCTTAAGAACATCAATCACTTAACAGTAAACACAAACATAAAGAAACGAAAAAAAAAAGGAAAAAAAGTGCACACCAACACACATACAAGAATAAACTTATCTTTGGCTCGAAATCTCAAAAAAAAAAAAGAAAACACAAATCAAAAAATGAAATCCTAAAAAATTAGGAAGAAGAAAAAAAATCGGCAACACTAATAAGGACTAGAAAACTGAACATCAGTTTCTATGCCTAACAAACTAACAAACAAACACAAAAATCACATGCATCATTTTGCCTGTACATTAGATATACAAACGAATGGGCAAGTGAGTGAAAAAAAACACACACATACATATTTTTTAACGCAATCAACAAACACAGTTGAGTTTATATATAGATACAGTTTAACTTAAAAGTTGTTATTATTATTTATACGATAAGAATTTTGTCTTGGATCAATACCATATAAATGACTGAATTCATTATCATTTGAAATATAACGTACATTATTATCATCATCCGAATCATCATCATGTCTTTCAGTTGAATTAATAACACGAATACAATTAGCACAATGACATTTTTTTAATACGGGACAAAATATTTCACCACTTTCATCATACATTGAATGAGCTATAAGAAGAAAAACAAATAAACATATTTTTATTAAAAATGTCATAAAAAACAATTCCTACAAGTATAAAGACATTCGGGCATATTATGACTTTTACAATGTCGACAAATTGTTTTTGGATATTGATATTGTTGTTGTTGTTGTTGATGATGTTTTAATTGAAGCATATTATTAAATTGATGATAAGGATTTGAAGGATTTTCATCCGATGGTGATATACTACTTGCAGATGACCATAGTGAATTCAAGAATGAAGATGAAGTTGACATTGATGAGAATACAATTGGTTTGCGACGTGGCTCACCTGGACCATCACTTCAATCAAAGATAATAATAAAATAAGTTCTGAATTTGTTTTCTTTTACTATGTCTTACTGAAAATAAGTAAATGGTTCAATCATTGTTTCAGCATCAAATTCATAATTAAGTGGATCAAAAGCTGTTTCACGAGAATAGATATTTGTATTTTCCATAAGTAATGGTGACATTGGTTTCATAAGACTTTTATTACTAGCACCCGAATAATAATACATTGTATGATAGTGATAGATATTAGATGTGTCTGTCGATTAAAAGCGTTAAAAATTCAAAATGAATGAAAATCGAAGGGTAATAAAAAGATGCTATAAATCTCTAATTCTCTCTCTCTTTCCTTATTGATACATGTGTATTGGACGAGGAAAACAAAAAGAAAAAAAAACGAAATGGGAGAAGACCTGGATGTAGTATAAAATTACGTTATTGAATGGACTGATTATATTGAATAGTAAAAAAAAAACGCACGTGTCATGATGAATCAACCTTGTCCATTCATATGATAGTTAGAAACAGAGTGATGATCGTAAATAGTAGCCGTCGGCATTAACAAGTACAATGTCCTCGTAGACGGAGACTGTGCACCAAAGAAATGCATTTGTCTAGATGAACAAGTGAAGTTAACCAATGGATAATATTATAGGCTAGTCAATAAGTAATCGAGCTTCAATGTACTAAAATGACGTTTATAACAATGATAATGTTTCTTCATTCAAAAAGAAGAGCAAAATACTTCGATTTGTTTATTTAATTGCAACTCAAGATGCCTCACTGATGTATTCTCAAACTTTTTTTTTGACTGAATCATATTTCAATAAAATAATGTTTAAGTGGTTTTGATCATTTTAGGCAGTATTTTAAATCAATCCATTGATTATGTGAAAATTAAATCTGTAAAGTTTTTCTTTCTTAATAATCCAGTCAGTTTTTCATTAAGCCAAAATGCCTAGAAAATTAGAATGATTCGACAAAAAGAACGATCTTGAAAATAGTCAAAACCATTGTGCAAATGATTATGAATCGTTGATTCTTATTACTTTTATTGTTTAACCATAATCTGAACGAGTTTATTTTAAACGAAAATAAACAATGAACTACATGAATAATTTTAGTAAGAAGAGATTAATAATCACTTTCATTCATTACTATTTGTATGTATTTCTTCATTTATTGATAAATCTGATGGAAAATATTGCAAATTATGTTTTTCACTTTTCATTTTTCGATTAACTACTAAATTATTATATTCACTTGTTTTATCTTGCTTAGTTGACAAACTGACTTCAGTCGAATGTTGACTTTGTTGAGCTTCAGCTATTTCTTCTGTATTCGTTAGTATCTTTGGTTTATGAGGTGGTTTAGAAGGTAAAATAATTGATTCATAAGGACCTTCAATATTTTCTATCCACATATTAATTGTATTCAACTTTTCTTTAGTTATATTTTTATTTGTTTTAATTTTTGGTTTTACTTTTGGCCGAAATAGACCACAGCATGCCATGATAACAAACGAAGATTTTCATGATTGAATCATAATTTTAATCAACTGAATCATAAATAAAATTGTTTGCAAGAAACTACAATGATAATAATCAATCGTTTGTTTTTCTTGTTGTTAAATATTCATTTCAGCGCCACTATTATAATGATTATTGTCAAAAAAAACAAAAATATATATTTCAAAGAGATCCTTTCTTTTTCTTTTGAAATTGTTCTACTAAACAGTATTATTTCTTCCAATCTCAATAACATACCGATGTCATTAGATTATAATCGGAAGAAATGTTATCTATTTGTTTGGTATATGTCAAACACCATTACTACTTAACTTAGAATAGAACCAACAGAAATGGAATCTCCTAATTGGACAAAATAGTTTTCAGATGTTAGAAGCTTTATTTTAACAATGTCAATGGAAAGAGTACAAAGTCAGGCGTCATTGCTTTTTCTGCAACCTAGCACTAAAATTAAAAGCATACAAAAAAAAATCGTCCAATAAGCGAAATTTATTAAAAATACGCCTTTTTTTAGAAATCTTGCTATAGTAACTTCATGCGAAAGGTTTTTACTGCAAAAAAAGTGTTCTACTTTCGAGAATATTTTCAAAGTTATCAGACATATCTAGGTAAAAAATTTCAGATTGAAATTCCATTATTGAATTATTCAGTAAATATTTTCAAATAGTTTGATATTTTTTTTTCTAATTCAATCATATTTTCGAAAAGAAATTTTACTATCTGACTTGAATAGTTTTTGTCACGCCTTGAGTTTCTCAAAATCAAACAAAAACAAACATGATCCAGTACATCTCTCATGTTGATGTATAATTCAAAAGTGGCACATTTAGTTATCAATTATGGATATTATGTGCTGTACAAAAATAATACACTTAATCAGCAAAGTTGACATTTCATCCCTTGGAAATAAGCGTCGAGATTAATATTAAAAATGTACCAAATATTGTGAATACAAATGATTATGTTATCTTATATTTATATAGTATTCAACTGTATGAAACATTCAGACAAGAAATTCTTTTTTTTTATCTATTCTTTCACTTTATCTGCTCTTCCCACCGGAAAAGTTTAATATATTATTATTCGGGAAAGAGAAAAAGAAAATCTTGGCAAAAACAAATAAGACGTGCATTCTTTTCTCTTTTATATATTCTGTTTATATATGCGCATATAGATGGTTATATTATGTGAAAAGACAGTTTTTCATTGTTATTTCACATCTATTTTGTTTCTGTCATACATATATCACACTATATATCTATATATATGTCTCAAACAGTTCGTAATTCTTCCGTAAGTTAACAAAAACATAGGAAAAAAAATTAGAAAACTATTTTTTTTATTTAGAAAGATGATGAACGACTAGATCATCATACTCCAATTTCTCCTGAATATCAATTTGGTGTGTAATGTTGTTTTATTTCAATAAAAAAAATACAATTTTTTTATTTTATAGAAAAGCCAGCGATTGATTGTCTATTAGATTATATATGGAATCAAGAAGCTAGAAAACCGGCAATTGATAAATTAATTCAAGAATATTTAGAAAATATTGGTAGTCCATTAACAAATTATTCCTCATCATCATCTATTATACCTCTTATGGGTATTTACGTATATATATATATATATACCTATGAGTATTTGATCATTCTATTGTTGATTGTAACAGGAAATGATAACAAGACTATGGCAAGTACATATAGTCAACAAATACAAACTCCTACTCGAACCATTCAACATTATCAATCAGCTTCATCTTTTTTTTATACACCAATGACTTCAGGTAATGATTCAAATGGTTACAGTAATAGTCATTATGATTTTCAACATACTGCTTCAACACCTTTACTTCGGTAAAAAATGAAAAAAAAGGTTTAATATGATAAAAATTGTTTTGTTCGTATTGCAAGACCACATTCAACGCGATCATATCATTCATCGTCTACACCAATTGATGGAAATACACCATACAGTCGAATATCAATTTCATCAGATCAAGATATTCGAATAGTTGATCGATTTGTAAGTTATCGAAGTTCATTTTAAAGAATATTAAAATTGTTTATTATTAGATTAATGAATATAATAGTAAAGATATTCGTTTAAAACGAGCTGCTGCTCAAGAACGTCGACAAGCAACTCGTAAGTGTTGAAATTTTAATGAATACATATATCTGACGAATAGATATGAGCAAGATAGTTTTGATCTCAATACTTTTCTTTATTGGGAGTGATATCATTCATAACCAAGTAAAATTTTATTCGAATCAAATGCAAGATGTCTCGAACGCATTGAAAACGTTAGAAAATCATATCGTGCTTTTCACTAGTAAAAGAGACGGTAGGCACGAACCTTTATAAGCTTTTCCCTGTCTTACGAAAACTTTCTTGTGCTGTCAAATGATGAGTTTTACTTTGAGTAGTTCCCTCGTCAGAAAATGTTGTTTTTTTTATTAAAGGACATTTTGGAAAAGTTCAACCAGGTTTGATATGGACATCACCATTACCTGTTCGACCACGAACATTTTCTATAAGACCACCATCATTGTCTTGCAAGATATTTCTTGGTGGTATTCCACATGATCTTAATCCTAGTGAGTGTGTTTTTTACATAAATGTTTTCTTTTTGTATTGAAATTTATGTAGGAGATTTACAAGAATGTTTAGAAAGTTTTGGATCAGTTCGACTAGAATGGTCCAATATGGATAATATACCTATGCATAGACATTCATCAAATAGTATGAGAAAAATACTTGTTTTGAAGAAATTTTTTAATTGAGGTTTTTTGTTTTAAAATAAATTAGTTACTACTGGTTTTGCTTATGCTATTTATGAAAATGAAGAGTCTGTTCATCAAATTTTACATATATGTTCAACAAAAACTGATCGATCATTAGATGATGGTCGATGTGAATATTATCTTGATGTTTATAGTCAACGAACAACTTTACGCAGAAAAAGTGTAAGAAAATATTTTCTTTGAAAATGTAAAATAAAATTTGCTTTGCACAGATTCAAATTATTCCATGGTTTGTAGTAAGTGTTTCGTATGAGAATTAAGTTTAAGAAATATTTCTTTTTTCATCATTTAGGAAGATTCACAATGTTTAGCCGAAGGTGATAGTTATACAAATTGGGAACAACGACTTGGTTCTACTGAATGTATTAATCGAACAGTATTTGTTGGCGCTTTACATGGAATGATGACTGCTTATGCATTGGCTCGAATATGTCAAGAATTATTCGGAGATGTGGAATATGCAGCTATTGATACTGATAGAAATAAATATCCTATTGGTAAATATATATGTGTTTTCATCGCAAATTATCGTACTCGGTTAGACATATTCATTTTCTGCAGGAGGTTTCAATCTAAACGCTTTCTTGAAACTAATGTTTTCGCATTATGACAATATTTTCTCTAATAGAAATTTAAAGACATGATTCTTTTCGATGAACTTCGGACCCTTTGTAGTTAGTATCTTATATGTAGAGTACCTGAAATGAGGACGCACGTGTTCGAGAAAAAAATTTAAAACAAGGTTTTCGCAGTTTTTTCGGAAAAACTCTAGGTTTTCACAGAACTAGATCGGACCGACTTACGACACTCGTCTATCAATGTCTGATTGCAATGAAGTTTTAAGTATCTCAAAAATTTTCAGCCTGATCAGACAAAATTAGACAAAAATCGTAAGTGAGACTGATGTGATTCTATGGGCAACTAGGACTTTTCTGCAAGACTACGAAAAACCTTATTAAAATCTTTTTTCTCGAATATTCGTCTCCTTATTCAAAGTACTGTACGTTATCAAATGAATGTAAAGAAAATAGCGAAAACTATATATTATTTCATATTTTTCTCAAATCTACCTGCCTTGAAAATTGCAAATTTTTTTAATGAGTCGTTCTCCGGAGAAGGGGTGGGGTATCGTTAAATCGTGTATAAACTATTCTAATTTGGTTCTGTATTTCGAATAACACATCATCTTAACTTAGGTTCTGGACGTGTTGTATTTGTAAATGCACATAGTTATTATGCAGCTGTTACCGCTAATTATTTAATGATTGAATGTGATAAATTTTGTAAAGTGGTATGTTTTATTGCCAGATCTATTTCTATTTGTTTTTCTTACTATTTTCATTAGATACAAATCGATCCATATTTATCAGATAGTGTACCTTGTGCAGGTGCTAATGGACAATGGTGTTCAAATATGGGACAATTTTTTTGTCGTTCACTTAAATGTATGAAATATTATTGTGCAATATGTTGGGATTTAAATCCTAATCATACGATAACACAAACGCATACCAACAATAATAATATTGAATGTGAACCACCAGCTTTAATTCATAAACCATTAATGCGTAATTCTCGAACTTCATAAGTATAAGAAATTTTATGAATTTTTTTTCAATTTCTCTGTACCGATGATATTCTCTAGTTTAAGAATTTTACAGTTCTTTTTAATATAAAGTGTTTTCTTTTCATTGTTCTTGTAAAAGTACAGTTTTCAGAAGACTTAAAAAAAAGTGATTATGTGAAATATTGGAGTTTTCCTTTTGTTGTTAGTGTTTTGTTGCTTAGTTTGTCTTCGTTATCGTTGTTTTCTTTTCTAACTATGTTTCCGTTACTGTTGTTATAGTACAAACATTGAGTATGTATTACATTTTGAATATTTCATCCATGTGTTTGTGTGTTTTGTGCTGAGATCCAAAACGAACAAATGTTTTCTTTTTCTGGCTGTTCACAATTTCGTAAGATGTGATAAAAGCTTTCCTATGAAATATAGACAACAGAATCCGTAAAAAACGTCTTGCCATAATTCTATTAAGTCCTTCAAAGATGGGACGATAATAGCCAACATAGAAAACTGAGAAGTATTTATACTTTGAAAGGCACATAAATTTTCATGAAAACACAAAACAACTTACAGTTAATATTTTATTGAATACTTCTTTTTTCTTAATGTAGCTATAGGTGCGGCCATGTGTAAGTGCAAGTCTCCGCTTGTCCTGCAGTCTGACCCACATCCAGACTCACATACTCTCAAACAAATCCAAATCCGCACTCCAACACCCACACCCACTAATACTTGACCAATAAAGATAGACTTTGGAAGTGAATAAGTGTAAACTGAGTTTAATTTTTTTAAGTGATGGGGAACTAATATTGATAATTTGAGAAGTCCTAATGGCCAAGAGGAATTCTCAAAATAATTCTTCGATAAGATAGACATACTCTATTCAGGATGGAATAATATTTTTAACTTCTACGCATGTGTCAATCCTAATATATAAAAAAGGAGAAAAAATATTTTTGTATGTTGGCTTGAATTTGTTTTTCATAGCTATATCATTATGTAGGATGGAATAGGTACCACTTTATATCACAGCCTGCCACGTGACTTTGTAGTCTGACCCAGACGATTCCTTGTGTTTGTTATGGCGAAAGCACAGTAGTAATCAGTAAGACCATTATGTTCGTAGGTCTCTGTGGTCGTTATGTGCATCAAACCTACGTTCATTGCCCTATTAGTTCGGCATGGTTCACTCTGGATGCACCCATTTCAGGCGTACAGGGAATCTCCAAGGTCGCGCATATACACGATAATGAGCCTAGAAAAGTCAGAAAGCGAAGTAAATAAGATGTGAATGTGACTGTAATAGATGTTCATAAGCCCACCCCAGCTACAGTCACACCCGTACTATATGAAATTTTCCATCAACAATGTAGTCTCAAGAGTGACTTCTAATGGATGGTTCCTAATAGACGGATCAACATGCTTCCTCTTTTCATAGCATTTTTTAACATTTTAAAGATTTCTTTTTAAGCTCATTCGATAAAGAGTTCTCGGCTCTACAAAACTACTATCTTTGTTTGTCAAATAACGTTTTTGTGTCCGGACAAAGTTTTAAAATGAATACCTACTGAATCCCGTAACTGCAAGGATGAACAAACGAAAAAAATGACGTAAACCATTTTATAAAGATTTACTGAAGTTCCACATATACTGCAAATTTCTTCAAAATTTTTATATCTTTGGATGTATGCTTCAGAATTTTAGAAGAAATATATTCGAGAAAAATTTTTGAAGTAAAAAATCTGAAAAAACCTGGAAAATCCATTTTTTTGGCGAAATTACATCATCAGTCTCTTCTAGTTTCATTTAATCTAATGTTTCTACTTTTCAAATTAACAGTCATACTAGTCTACTCAGAATTAAATTCTCTACTCGATCGCATACAAACAAACGTGTCCCGAATCAAGTCTTGCTTTGAAAAACATGGTCTTCCAAGATGCTTCTCAAAATACCACCAAATTCTGGTTCAAAGCCTTTTTATTTTGAACAACACTAGTAGAAACTTTGAGCAAGTCGTGGAAGCATAGAGCACGGAACTCTCTATTCATTGACGCCAAATATGTTACTTTTAGCAACGATCCTGATGAGCAAAGACTCATACAAATCGATAGGAATCTGCATCTAGACACTTGAATAGGTGCTCGTATTTTTAAGTTTTGCATGGACAAAGAAACAGCTATTTGAAAAACTAAGATTGAAGTTTTATAGAGAAAGAGATTCACTATCGAATGAGCCTAAAATGAAGTTTTTAATGCATTGAAAAATGCTCTAAAAAGAGAATAACATTGTGATCCGTTTATAATGGGATACTGGTTAGAAATAGCTGTACTTTTGTCTTTCTTAAAAGATATTAAATCTAAAAAATTATTCATCATTATGACTCCATACCTTGTGCATTATTAAAGAGTTCTGCGAAAGAAAAGAGACGAAACTGTGTGATGTCTTCGCATGGTTTTTTTTCAATATGAGTTATATTAAACAGCTTGCAATATAGACCAAAGCTGCTAGCCTGACCAGGCTAAAGTTCTTAGCCTGGATATGATTTAATACTAATATCTACAGTATTCAATTTTAAGAATAAGACGACTTCATGAGTCGATGATGATTGCCTTTGATATTTTCTGTTGATCATCAAGTCAAATCAGTGTTTTTATACATTTTATAAGGTTTTTTGACTGTGTTTGTTACTGTTTACTTTCAGTTCTCGGACATTTAGAATTTTTCAATCTCTTTTTGAATTTTCTCCTTTGATGATACACAGCTACAATTATTTCTAGTACTTTTTTGTGCCAAAACTATTTAAAATTCTTCTTACTTATTCAATCTTATACTAAGAAAGATCGCGTTACTCAATTAAAGAGTTTCATGGTTCCAAGAGCTAGTCTAAACAAGAATCGAATTCAGAGTTTCGATTAATAAAAATGATGGAGAATTAAGTCCTGCCCACTCGTAAAATTATCGTGTGAATAAAAGTCATCAAACCGTACGATTAGTAAACGGTTTTAAGCTAATTTTGAGAAGTTCTGATTCGTACGTATTTTGGATTGAAGATACCTTACATATCGGCAAGTATTCAAGATAATCGATACTTTCCATGTCCACATAGTTATAACTTTATTCCAAAACAATTCAAATATCTCCACATAAGTTCCTAAATTTCAACATCTACTTGATTTACTACATGTTTGAAATTGTTTCATTTCAGAACTCAAGTCCATATTCATGTTCCAAATATTTTCACAAAATCGATCTTAAAAGTGATTCATGAATGCTCTTAGTGGAGAATAGGCACACTATATCCTATTGCTCTCATGAAAACAAGTCGGATCACAAATTGAAACGTATACAATGGATTAATACTAATTTGTAAATTTCATAATAATAAAAAGTCTGAAACATTTGTTCGCCTGGTTTGACCTGCAGGCTAACTTTCGAAATTTAGCCTGACCTGCCAGACAGACCAGGCTACCCAGACCAGGCAGCCGATCAGACCAGACTGAAAAAAAGTGGCCTATTGTCAGTTCTGATTCAAATAAGCAAAAATTATATCCATCAAAAATTATGTAAACTATTTCGGTATATTCTTGTCATTTCTAATATAACTTTAGTTCTTTTTATTATTAGAATAAACGTAATCGATCTGAATCTAGTAAAGATAAGGAAAATTATTGATATACTTATTGGCTATTATTAGATGAAAATCTTCTACTATCAGGCATTAAAAATGATTCAAAATGAGGATGAGATGAAGGTAGTAATAATCGTTCAATAACACTTAATCCTCCTTCGCCATCTGATACTACTTCTCGTAGTACAGCGCCCAATACATCAATTATAAATAGCAAAGGCTTTGGTTATAAAAAGAAAAAAGAAGTTAAGAACTTATAAAGGGTATCTTTCTTGTATGAATCAACTGTGAATATCTAGTTCTGCACGTATAAAAAAACATAGCAGCTTTTGTTTAATACTGCAGTAAAAAGGAATATTTCAATGACTAAAGCAAAAGATAAAGATGGAATTGGAGGGACAAAGAAATTCTTCTAAAGTTTTTTTCTTATAAATCACAAAATATTATGCACATTATATACATGTACATGTTGCAGGAAACACTTAATTATTTAAGTATTTTATTCGATTTCGTTGTAAGTTCAATCGATTTTATATTTTATGTTATTCATATCTATACATCAATATTTTTGCTCTTTCTATCATGCTATATATTCTCTTATCTGAATATGTAAAGAAAAAAAGAAGTCGAAAATTTTTATTCATCATTATAGAATCGTCCATCTGATGTATTATCATCAAGAAAAATATTGAATTTTTGGTTTGCGCCTGTCTTTCTTGTCCTTGCTAGCTACAATTTTTTGTGAAACACGATCTAAAAGGAATGTTGAAGTGTATAGAGATAGACATCTGAACTTCCCCCCTCCCCCTCAGACCGTGATCGCCATAACTATGGAAACGTCAGAGACCATGACCGATACTATCATGGCAACGTCATGAACTCCTTTAGCAATGCTTCTGCTTTCTCATAGACCATGATGGACATATCGGAGAAATCAAAGTTTACTGTATGGTTAGTATCAAACACGAGTGAGTTTAAGATACATGTGCTTTGTCATTCTTTTACGCTCGCTTTGACATGTTACAATTAAGATCTTTTATCATTAATAAGAATTAACAATAAGTAGCAAACACAAAACTGGGACATATGTCGCTAAACTCCTCCTATTTATAGTGTTAGCAGCACCATCGTGTTTGATATTTTTTAATTCCATAAGAATTGTGTTAACAGCTTTTTTCAGATTCATAAATATATATTCTTTAATATTTTTTAAAAGTCTATTAGTTGATTTTATTACAAATGTAACAAATTAATCGTACTTGACACAAATGACATCGAATTACATGATGATGAAATATGTTTAGAGGAAGATTTTGTTATTTTAAGTGTAAATTTACCTTGTGAAAATAAAACAAAAATATATTTCTAAATAAATTAAAATTTTTCTTATTGGAAATTATTTAACATTATATAATGTTAAAGTGTTTTTTATTTCAATCCAACAGCAATCAGCATCAACATTAATAGTATACAATGATGCATTTTATTTATCATCTACCACTAATTCATTAATGCATTTTTTCGGCTCTTTGTTGACTTGACTTCAACATAAATATGTTTTCTATACAAGAAATATGAAGAGTAATGTATTTCGAAGCGAGAAATTCAGGTTGGCTAACTAAAAATAGATTCGGATCCAACGAAGCATTCCTTACACTCAATCAACTTAATCGATCTTTAAACTTCTATTCTTTTTATTTAAAAACAAACCTTTGGTTTATTTAAAAGAATATAAAAGTGGAACAACACTTTTCTTTTTCACACCACATGCATGTAATTATCATTCTAAACTCTATAACAAAGTTCATTCTTGATTAGGATTCGATAGATTCTAATCTTTGATACCTTTCAGATGTTAACACCAATTTTTATTTTAAAAAAGAGTATAAATCATATTTCAACAAAATTACATGATTATTAATCGTTGTAAACATTACTTACCCAAAAAAAGTTCATTAGTTTCTTTGCAAAAATTAAGAGGACGTGAAACTCAAGAATTATTTGATCCACGATCTATTCAACTGTTATAACAATTTCAACATCCGATATTAGGAAAAATAGCAAGTATTTTAGAAAAACTACGGCTATGATCAGGAATTTAATTTATAACTTTGTTTAATTCAAATACATTTTTAAAATGTAATTTAGTTATTTTAACTCAACGACCAACATCATTATTACAAGACTAAAAATTTGTTTTTCTTTTACAGTAAATAAAACTATTTATGTTGACATATAATAACATAATAATTCCACGCTTTATTAATTGATTCTAGATAAGACTTATGTTTACTCAATCATAATAATATGTTAATATGAAAATAAGAACTCGATAGATAATGATATTTCGTAAACCAAATAATTCTAATCTGTATTGAGTTAAAAAACGTTTGAACAATAGTTCTTATCAAAAGATTAATTTAGTCTATAAAGAAAAAAATCCAAATTTTTTTTCTTTATTTAAAGATTCATAGAAATACAGAGTTGGACGAGTCTGAGTCAAAAGACGGACTCAAGTCAACTCGAGTCATCCATTAAAAAAAAAGATTTTTCATTTGCTCTTATAAAAAAATCACAACCTATAAGATTAAATTTTATTTATTAATAACTTTCATCCCGTCAAATATATTGCATCAGAACTTATACGCCTGACCGCATATGTTTATGTTATTAACAATATATTGTCTATTATCCACAACGACACAGGATCCAATAAACGAATTCCATAGACGTTGTTTAAGAATGATATATTGGTGATATTAATGCTCAAATGCTGATCTACATAATAAATTCCAATTACCAACGTTACAAACAAAATACAAAATGTGCCTTTTAAATAGACTAAAAAGCATCCAACTCTACGAACCTGAACTTATCTCCTGTTATTTGTTAAGAAAGAACATCATAAATATATTAACTTCTCATTACAATGAAAAAGCATATATTTCCTGGCTATAAAAAAGGAAGGCCAAGCAAAAAAATAGTTGCTATGTATAATAACCAAAATAATTGTAGTACTTTCTTTGATAAATTGTTGAACATTGCATATTCATAAATGTATCATCATATACTATAATACTACAGACCTTGAGGCATCTGATCGCTTGAGGAAGTAAAATTATTTTGCAACAGTTCTTCTCAGTTGTTCATTGATTATAAGACAAGTTTCTTTTCTGTATTTTTTATAAATTCAAGTGACGTTGAATACTTTCTCATCTGATTTAATTTTACAATCTTCCTCATGATTAAGGCAGAATGGCACTTCTCGGAGTGTAGGTACGTGTTAAGAGAAGACCAACATCCAAAGCACACACCCTCCAGATTTACTATTTTTCGACTTAAAAATCTATTTGTTTCCTTGAAAACAAAGCATTATTTTATTCTGCAAAACCTACTGCATACACACTATTTTTAGCAAAGTGTGAAGGATCGTGTATGCCGGACGCTCTAGATGTTCTGTACAATTGCCACTTACCACACAGTTTAGAAGACATGATGAGACTTCGAAACTTCATCTTAACTTCATGTGACTTCATGACGAAGTCACTACGCATGAAAGAGTGTAGATATAAGTAAAATACTCACATATAGAGTCGAATCGGGACGCTAGAGTGACACTCGTACTCACACCCTTGCATAAAAAATACAGATGAATGTCCTTAATAAAAGTAACTATACTCAGTTATTTGAGATCTCTTCAAAAAATTCAAACATTAAGATACTGCGGCACTTACATTGTTGAGAGATGCATTCTAAATGACTCTTTTCGGAATAGATCAAAACTAGAATACTTGAGGATGATAATGATTTGATTCAACCTTCAAATTTCGTACTACAGAAAACATTTATATATAATTAGATAAGATATATGGGCTTTAGTTGACGATATAAACTAAATCAACTACAGAAAAAGTTATAAAGAAATTTCAGAATGACAAGTGAATGTTAAAAATAATGAACAAAAAACAAACAGTAGAAGCTTGAAAAAAACGATATTAACAAGTCTGTAAGAAAATATTCAAACTGTCAGTGCCTTCATTCGCAACAACAAGATCTTGTTTTCCATCATTGTTGAAATCATTCACATCTATAGAGAAAGGCAAAGATTGATATTCTATTCCGATCTCAATTACATCTGCAAAAGTACCATCACCAATTCCGAGTAGTACGCCTATAGTGCTAGTGACATAGTTGACTACAGCAATGTCTAATAAAGTATCGTTGTTGAAATCAGTGACCACTACCGAACATGGACCGGAAGAATCTCCAGTTGAAAACGTATTTTGATTTGAAAAAGATCCATTGCTATATCCAAGAAATACACCAATCGTATTACTGTCATAATTAGCGACGGCTATATCCAGTTGAGTATCGTTGTTGAAATCACCAGCAGCTAAAGAATATGGACGGGAAGCAGAACCAGTTTCATATATCGTTTGATTTGTAAAATAAAAGTTTTTATTTCCAAGAAAGATGCCTACATTATTAGTGCCTGAATTAGCAATAGCAATATCTAAACGATCATCATTATTAAAATGTCCAATGGCGAATGATCGCGGTCGAGAGCCAAGACCAGTGTTGAGCGTCATTTTTTTGACAAAAACTAAGTTGATATCTCCAAGAAGTACGCCTACACGGTTACCATCTGAACTAGTCACCACAATATCTAAACGAGTGTCACCGTTGAAATCACCAATGGCTACCGACATTGCCAAGAATCTTGTTGAATATGTCATTTGACTTGTAAAAGAGCCATCACCATGTCCTAGAAGTACACTTACATTGATGTCATTTGAATTAGCAACGACGATATCCAATCGGTTGTCTTTGTTGAAATCACCAACAGCTACAGATGCTGGTCTAGAGCCAGTTAAATACGTGATTTGCTTTGTAAAAGAGCCATTACCATATCCAAGAAGTACACCTATATTGTCGTAGCCATAATTAGCAACGACAATATCAATTCGTGTGTCATTATCAAAATCACCTACAGCTATAGAGCGGAGGAAAGAAAAACGATCGGTAAAATATGTTATTGGATCACCAAAAGTACCATTACAATATCCGAGACGTACATCTATACTGTCACTGTCGTAATTAGCAACGACAATATCCATGCAGGTGTCGTTGTCGAAATCACCAGCAGCTACAGACTGTGGTGAATAACTAGATGAATAACTTATTTGATTTGCAAAAGACCCATTACCATATCCGAGCAATATACCTACTTGATTGGCAGCGCTATTAGTGACGACAATATCCAGTCGTGCGTCATTGTTGAAATCACCAATAGCTACAGAGCACGGCCAACTGGTTAATCCTGGATAAGAATTCGTTGGATACGTCATCTGAGTAGCAAATGTGCCGTTTCCATATCCGAGAAAAACGCCAAGATTATTGTCATTGTTATTAGTAACAACAATATCCAGTCGCGCATCATTGTTGAAATCACCAACAGCCACAAAATATGGTGTAGCGCCAGTTGAATACGTTATTTGAGTACCAAAAGTGCCGTTACCATATCCGAGAAAAACGCCAAGATTATTGTCATGCCTATTAGCAACAACAATGTCTAGTCGGGAGTCATTGTTGAAATCACCAACTGCTACAGAGTATGGATCAGAGCCAGTTAAGTAAATCATTTGACTCGCAAAAGAGCTTGTGTCATATGGCACATATATATGTACATTGTCAGTGTCATTATATGCGACAATAATTTCCGATCCTCCGTCATTGTTCAAATCACCAGTGGCGACAACCGATGGGAGAGGATCAAAGCTGTTCTCATAATTTATTTGACGTACAAAACTTCCCGTTCCATTTCCAAGAAAGATATCGACATTATTAGAACCATGATTAGCCACTGCAATGTCCAGCTCATTGTCTTTATCAAAATCACCAATAGCGATTGCATACGGATAAGAATCCAAGCCTATGAAAGTCATCATTTCTGTGCCAAAAGTACCATTTCCATGTCCCGGAAGGAAACCTATGTTATTAGTAGCGTAATTAGCAACAACAAGATCTACTAGGCTATCGTTATTAAAATCACCAGTAACAACAGTACGCAGATGAGAACCACCACTAGATGCAAATGTTATTTTCTTAGCAAGAGTTCCTCTGTTATAATGAAGCAATACACCCACACTATTAATACCAGCATTAGTGACAACAATATCCAGTAGCGTGTCATTATTGAAATCGCCAACGGCGATAGAGTTCGGTTCAGAGCCAGTTGAAAGCCTTGTTGGACTAGAAAAAAAGCCATTACCATATCCAAGAAATATACCTATATTGTCATCATAGCTATAAGCGACGACAATATCCAGTCGAGAGTCATTGTTGAAATCACCAACAGCTACATACTGTAGATATAAACCTGTCTTATACAGTGCTTGTCTTGCAAATGAACCGTTTCCATATCCGAGAAGTACTCCTACATCGCGAGACATTTGATTAACGACAACGATATCCAGTCGTGTATCATTATTGAAATCACCAACAGCTACACAGCATGGCTTAGAGCCAGTTGAATACGTCATTTGATTTGCAAAAGACCCATTACCATATCCAAGAAGTACACTAATATTGTTGGCATTAGAATTAGCAACGACTATATCCAATCGAGCGTCATTGTTGAAATCACCAACAGCTACTGAAGATGGATCAGAGCCAGTTGAAAACGTTGTTTGACTAGCAAAATAACCATTACCATATCCGAGAAATATGCCTATATTGTCGTCACCCTTATTGACGACGACAATATCTAGTCTGTTATCATTATTAAAATCAGCAATAGCTACAAAGTAGGGCTGCGAGCCATTATAATATGGCATATGATTAGTAGAAGAGACAGTTGAATACGTTATTTGATTGGCAAATGAGCCGTTACCATATCCGAGAAGTATACCTATTTCCTGGTCACCGTTATTGGCAACCACAATATCCAATCGGGTGTCGTTATTTAAATCAGCAACAGCTACAGAGTATGGCGAAGAACCAGTAGGGTATGTCATTTGATTTGCAAAAGAACCATCACCATATCCAAGAAGTACACTTAGAGTTTGCCCATACTGGTTAGTGACGACAATATCCAAGCGATCGTCATGGTTAAAATCACCAATAGCTACAGAACGTGGAGAAGAACCAGTTGAATACGTTGTTAGATTAGCGAAGCCTTCATCATAACCTAATAACACACTTATGCTGTTAGTTTCATCGTTAGCTACACTAATGTCTAGGCGATTGTCATTGTTAAAATCACCTATGGCCAATGAAGTCGAAAAAGAAGATCCAGTTGAATACATTTTTGGTCTAGAGAAACTACCATTGCCATATCCAATTAGGACGCTTATACTGTTAGTACCTTTATTAGTTACGACTAAATCTAGTCGTTTGTCATTATTGAAGTCACCAGTGGCAATGAAATATGGAGAAGCGGCGTCGAGCAGATTTGTGGTTTGAAGTGTGAAAGTTCCGTTACCATGGCCGATGAAAACATCTACATTGTCAGCTTCAAAATTAGCAACGGCGATATCTAACAGAAAGTCGTCGTTGAAATGACCAACGACGAGTGAACATGGATGAGAGTCAGAGCCAGTGGAAAAGGTCGCTTGTTCTGTAAAGTTATTATCGGCATTTCCAAGAAGTACACTCACACTGTTTGTGCCAGAATTAGCAATGGCGAGATCCAGCTGATTGTCATTGTTGAAATCTCCAGAGACGACTGACAATGGAATAGAATCGTAGCCTGTTGAATACTTGATTGGACTGAAAAAACACCCATTTCCAAATCCTAATAATACACTTATACTATGGGTACCGTAGTTAGCAGTGACAATATCGAGTAATGTGTCGTTGTTGATATCAGCTATGTGTATCCAGACTGGGCGAGACGAAGTAGTTGAGATCACAGTTTGGTTTCCAAAAGATCCATCACCAAATCCAAAAAAGATCAGTATGCTGTTAGTGCCAAAATTTGCGACAGCGATGTCCGATCGGTTATCATTGGTCAAGTCACCAACTGCGACCATATACGGAGACGAGTTGTTACCGGTCGAATACTTCATTTGCCTTAAAAAAGATCCATCACCATTACCAAGAAATATAACAATGAAGTTAACGGCATGATTAGCAACAACAATGTCTAACCAAGCGTCATTGTTAAAATTACCAACCGCAATAGATCGAGGACCGTAATTGTTTCCGATTGAATTTTTGTTCATTGATATGAACTTTAACTCGCATTTTTGAACTAAACGACATGAAAAGCAATGTGATGACTGTTGGGTTGCTCAAGTAGAACTATCCCTGTTGAGTCGTATCGAATCTTCATCAGTCCTATAATAAGCTGTCAGAAGTTGTCGTATTACTCTACTTGGACACAACTCAACACCATTATGATTTAATAGAGATCCACTAAGATTCTTAGGATTTCGATAGAGTTAGATTTGCGACTTTATTAGTCAGGTCACTTGTCTGTTTTCTTTCTTTCATCTACTGTAGAATTCGTTCAAAAAATGCATCATCTTTGAGAAAGGAGAAGAAAGTCAACAAATATGATACGAGTGAAGAGTGTAAAGCTGTGTCAAATTACGTGATCAAATGTGATCACTTCCGAATTGTACAATTTCTTTTTGTGGCATTGACTATTCGAAAAATTTAATAACAATGACGAAAGTTACACATTATTGCAGAAACAAATGAAGATCAAAACTGTTGTGTTGGGTCATGCTATGAGTCATTCAATCAGTATTTTGCAATTGTGATTATAATTACAAACAGGATGTAACGTTATGATAGAGGAGAGAATGTGAATCTACTACAATAGTGAGCGCATGTGTCAGTGGTTCCATTATAAGAATAACGAATATTCATCGATAATTTTCGAATGACAAGTGTGTCACTATTTTTGCTCGTTTTCGTATAGTGAGTGATCTCTGACTTCTATCGATCTATTCAGTCAACAATGATGATAATTGATCTTTTGACTTGTTAATTATAGATCTTCGATGTAGTCTTATTTCACTTGTAAAAGAATGGCTTATATATCAATAAAAAAGAACATACCAGTAACTTTTGGTGAAGTGAAACAAACTATCAGTATACCGATAGCCATTATTACAATTGTGAATATAGCAAATGCATTTTTAGCTATTGAAGATCGATGTTGTGACCAATACGAATATTCTCTAATGAAAACATTCTATACATTATGATGATGTGAGAAGAAAAGAAAGAGATATACAAATATGTTAGAACAATTAACGACTTATTTATTTCATTAGTAACATTGGCAAATCTTGTTAAATTAGATCGATTTTGTGTAAAATTTTCACGTTGCTCATTGTCGGCATGAGGATATTGTTCAGCATGTAAATGTCCGACTGAAATAGCATCATTATTCATAGAATTTTCATTCATCTATAGTAAAGTAACAAAATTTAATGAAAAATAATTTTCTGATAAAAGTCATCAGTCGGTCATTAAAATACTTTTTTTTTTATAAATTACCTTTTGAGTTATCAATCATGTCTTTTCTATGTGGACGTTAGGGTGTGGTGTAAATGAGTGAGCGCTGATGCTCTCTTCGGCTACATCCACACCCCACGCCAGAGAGTTGCCAGATGTTCTGAAAAAAAGGGATAGTTTCTGAATTTTGGAAATTTTTCCGAATACTTTCTGATGTTCTTATTTTTTTTCTGATTTCCTTTTGAATTCTGAACTCTTTTAGATCGCAGTTTCCTTAGTGGCGTGAAATATGATTACTAATTATTACTATAATGATGCTCAACTTAAAATAAGAATCAACAGTAATTATTTCTGCGAACAATTTTATAAACATATTTTAACTCGAACACATTTATCAAAGTAAAATCGAAAAATCGAAAAAATGAAAAATAATATCGAATCGATATTACATAACTTATTTTTCTTTCATAGAATTTCTTAACCTACATTATGTATATTTAGTTTATTTTTGTATGTTTTTTGTGAATGGAATTTGAGCCTAGTGGAAGAGTTCGACACTAAGCATCTTTGTTTTCTGATTTTGAAAACAATTTCTGAATTTTAACGTTTTAATCTGGCAACCCTGCTAATCACTCTTTGATAATATTATATCTAATTTGGTTTCAAAATGACAACGGCGATGAAAATTGTTGAAGTATCATTTTATGTTTCTGATGAGGATATAAATACAAATGAAACTGTAAATAATGGAAACAAGAAAAGAGAATAAAATGAATGGTATACTTTTGATCAATATAAGAAAAAGCACTCAATGTTTGGTGTGTTACACATTACCAGGAGATAAATTTAAATGGTTAGATGATGTGTGCAAGTGTTCAGTATCTTTCAAAAGATATCTGTTTAAACCTAAAAAGTGCATTTACGGATGCAATAAAGTTCTGTTAATTGTAATTGTACTATTTTTACCAATAGGAATAAATAATAAACTGAACGAAAATAAATTAATTGCTGAACATTTCAAAGTATTTAGTATGGTAAAACTAGGTTTCTTATTGAGCAACAGCAATCAAGAGCGTAATAAAAAATGATACTAAGGATTTACTATAAAATACTGAGAATAAAGCACAGACCTTTTTTTCTTCACAATGAAAGTCAAAAGTCTTATGAGAGAATTCCTTCAACTGATACCATTCGTATGAGCTAATATTTTTCTGATAGATTAGAGTTATAATTGAGATCAAAATTTAAAAAAGAGCTAACTCATTGTTATATAGTTTTAGAAAAAAAAAGAGCACAATTAATGTCTGTATTTCAGTTTATTTTGTTCTTTTCATATCTAAATAATTTAAACCGAAAATTGTATCAATTTGAAAAAGACTGTCGATTAATCGTGATCAATAAGTGATTTTTCAGAAATGACAATAAATCACGATTAGTTGGCGACTTTTTAACAAGCTTCAACAGTAAGTATTATTATATAAAATAAATATTTTTTTTTCTAATATTTATACCATCTAAATGAACAGTAAGTATTATTTAATTTAAAAACAAATTCTACGATTTACTGCGAATGAGAAGAAAGAAATTATCCCTTGCCTCATTCATCAGAAACATGTATGAGCACGGTGGTAAAACACAGTGGTATACACGTCGAGATGTAGCCATAGTCGTAGATTCTAATACTACAACCAAGTGGAATTAATGAAAATATTACAAGGTGACTCATAAATAGCACTACGAAAAAAAAGTGAAATACCTTCGCATCGGTTCAATAAAATGAGCTGATTTTTTTTTGTTCAAGGTAGAAGTTCATTCAAAGTTTCTTTTTCATACGGATAAGATAATCAAATATTACTGTTGAGTATTATTTTTGGTATCATAAAAGAAATTTTATTGCTTATCAAGTAAAATACAATACATATGTAGCGTTTCATAGATAATTTTCAGTTGTCACCTAGAAGAATAATAAGAGCAAATCGAAGCGAACTTTATGAATGAATTTGTATTAGTGTGCGCAGAATAAGATTTCAAAACTAGTAAGTTTAAGTGCTGAAACTCATGCCCCATAAATAAAAAACACAATTGTAGCTTTTTGGGTAGTAAAACATCAACTTTTTTGAAATAAACAGTGTTTCATGTTTGAAAACTCGAAATTTCGTGATCGTTGACTTTTAAACTAGCTAAATAGTTTTAAAAATTTGTTCTATGCTCATCAATACAGATTGATTCATAAAGTTCATTTTGACGTGTTTTTATTATTCTCCTAGATGGCAACTGAAAATTATCTATGAAACGCTACATATGTATTTTTTTTTTTTACTTGATAAGCAATAAAATTTCTTTTATGATACCAAAAATAATACTCAACAGTAATATTTGCATACCTTATCCATATTGAAAAAGGAACGTTGAATCAACTTCTACCATTAATAAAAACTTAACCAATTCAATTGAACCGATGCGGAAATATTTCACTTTTTTTTATTGTAGTGCTATTTATGGGTTACCCTATATTTGAATAATTTCGATAAAATAGCCGATTTTTCATCGATTTTGATGAGATAGATAGATATAAAAATACGGATTATTTATAGATAATTATGAGGCTTTAGGCAATTGAAATAAAGGGCTAGATATAGTTAAGAGTAAATAGAATTACGTTTTGAAGGAGTATGCAGGAGCTCAATGGTATTTGATCGAACGTCTAACATAACTTCAACTACGAAACCTGTATTAAAACGAAAAAAAGCTTTTGTACGAAATTGTCAAAGGGTTTCGAATTTGTTTCTAATCTCGAAACCCTTTTTAGGTTCTGCATCGCACTTAATTTTTTTTAGTAAATTAATTACTTCAAACGTTGCTGAATCATGAAAATAAGCTCAGTCTGTGAACGATTAATTTACGAAGTATTTCGAATAATTAACGGTGTGAAAACTGTGCAAACACAGCTCGTTTACGGATACCTCAGCGATGGATTTAAGTGGCCGTAACACTTCGTATACAATCAATAGACTGTTCGTTTACGACAAGGATAATTTACGAACCGCATTTCTGTGCTAGATAATACCATATACCACGGGTCGAATACTGTCCATATATATGCACCGTTTACTGAAGTTAAGATACCGTTTTATCGACGTTTACAAATTGAAAACGTACTGTAAACAAATGTGTTTTAATCGACTTAAGTGATCATGATCAAATGCTTTTACTAGCTAGTAATATTGATTTTGTTTAAATTCTCCGAATTTTAACTAGAAAATAAAAATAATAAAAATGATGACACTTACTATACTTTTTCGTACATCAGTGTCGTTTAACTTTTTGTTTGAATATTATTTCTACTCTTTAACAAGACTATTTTGCACTTGGCAGGTCTTTTTATACTTGTTTGCTTATTCTGTTATTACACAATTTATATAAAAAAATATTTTATTCATGACATAAATAATATCATTATATCCCTATAAAAAATATTTATCATTGTACGTCAGTCTAATCAATATATCATGTGCATACATACAAAAGTTACTTGAAATGTGTATGATGAAGAGACACGATAGATTATAAAGAAGAAAAAAAATATATTCCTTGATGATACAACCATGACATTTCTTTTTTTTCTTTCATGAATATAGGCATGGTTTTTCTTCTTTCCTCTTTACATATGCTGATCAGATACTGATTCAAAAAGAAAGTGACAACAAGATAATTACACAAAAAAATCAAGGTAGATCTATTAACATTACATTTTGTAATGAGAAAAAATATAGTACACTACTGAGTTATTTGTCGTTGTAGTGTTTAATGAAACCAAGAGTGAAACGCTGAAATTTTGATTGGCTAAATTCCTTTGATTTAAATTGGGGATGCTCTCTGAAAAAAAGTTGTCATGCTGAATCTTTGAAGGATCTAGATTTGGGCACCATTTTCTCTACCATTTAAGGTTCTAGCATCACCGAATTTTATCTCGAACGTTTTTCTTCTGACTCGAAAAAGGTTCTACCCACAAAAATAACAACCCATTTAACATACAAAGTTCAGCTCTTTTGATATGATTACTTCATTTCGAGTTATTAGAAAGTACATATTAATTAATATTAATAGAAATTACTCATCCTTATTTGTATATATGAGTTTAATTTGAAAATAAAAAGATAACTTAGGAGTTAATTTATAATAAAATTAATTACATAAGTTAGAGACGTGACGTTTCGACAATCGAATTTGTTTTCTTGAGGGTGTGGCTGTGGGTGCATGTGTGGGTGATAACACACTTTTTTCGATACCCACGCCTACACCCACATCCACACCTTTGCAAGTTTTTTATCGGTTTTTCTGTCATTTTTAGAGAATAATGCATCCTTGTTCTATAGATGTTATAAGTTATAACAGACAAAAATATCGTGTTGATAATAAAAAATTTAAGTATGAGAGGTGAGAAAGACGTTATATGAAATCAGTTCGAAATTAATTTTACATCGCCATACAATCCGGAAAGTTTAGTCTCGAGTTTTATTGTTGATCGGTTTTCAGCCGGTAAGGAGCGGTACACTTTCACTTTATATTGCAGTCTTACGCTAAAGTGATGAACAAAAAGAATTTGTATCTTCAAGAATCAATTTTATATTTATTGCATAATTTGCAGTCTCCTTTAATGTATTTATTATTTATCTTTGCTTGATTAGAGATGGCTAGTCTATCGTTTCTTATTGTTTAGATATAACTTTTCTTATTTAGTCATTCTTAGAAAATACATAGTACCTGTCTCAGAATTGTTTTATTCTACCCTTTTTTATTCAATTTATTTATTTCAGGACGTTGGGTGCATGGATGTGGATGTGGGTGGGGTATGGGTGTGAAAATATGTGTGGGTGTCAGTATGGATCTTTTCAATCAAGTCAATACCAACACGAACTCCGAACACGCACCCATACGGATACACCCACACC